CCAGGAGACTTTCCCCAGTCTGGCCTTCAGTTGGCCAAAGTTGGCCCTCTTGAAGTCCCAGCTTCTAGTGCTCGACCTGCTGCACGTCCACAGTCTCCTGATCTCAAAGCAAAGGATGGAGTGATCACTCGCATCCAGAGCTCCCCTAATCTGTACTTCATCTATCAGCTCCTCCCTATTGGTCAAGGCCAAGTCAAGTATGTTTCCCCCCCTTGTCACCTCTCGGACCCTCTGTGTGAAAAACCCTCCCTCTATAGCTTCTAGGAAGCGACGTGACCTGGCTGTCACCGCCAAATGAATCTCCCAACTAATATCCGGGAGATTGAAATCTCCCATAATTACTGTGTCTCTCCCCCGAGATATCCTTAGAATCTGGCCTGTCAGGACATCATCCAGGGTCTCAAGTTGACCTGGAGGGTGATAACATACCCCCACTGTCAGGTCTCTTTCCCTGTCAAAGCCCCTAAGTTTCACCCAGACTGCCCCTACCGAATCCCCATCTGTGCTGCATTCTATCTCAAAGATTCTTCATCTTCAATCTAACCAATAAGGATATTTTGAAATGCATCTTAATGGATTGTATTGCAGGCTATATGGGCCCCTGAAGTACTGCCAGATGGTGTACGCTTTTTTCGAGCAAGTCCTGATCTTGAAGAGGGATACCCTGGTGAACTGAAAGTGTGGGTGACATACACTCTAAAGGATGGAGAACTAATGATAAATTACCGAGCCCAAAGCAGTAAGACCACACCAGTCAATCTGACCAATCATTCATACTTCAATCTTGCAGGTCAGGTAAGAGAGTCCTTGAAGCAACATTGTTGTTAGTGAGAAATGGTGACAAAATTGAATTTTCTTTTCTTTCTTCCTTGTATGGAATGCTAAGGCGCCATCTATGTTGTGATTCTCATTTTGACTGCTCCTCTGGTTGATCTTCAATCTGTAGGTAACATGGATCAAGGACTTAATCTGCTGAACTTGAAAGGTTGGGAGCAAAGAAGGTGGGCCTTGAATTGTACAAACCCATGTCATTTAGATTTTGCAGCATCTTAAAATACTTTTGCAGGCTTTGAGTTGCACTGGAAGGCTGTGCAGATGCTTCCAATGAAGCTCATTCTTAGCCAGGCCACTGAATTCTGCAGGAGTGGAAGCTTCGCAGATGGTTAAAATGCAAATTGAAAGAACTGGGCTTCAAGGACAGGGCCACATAGTGTATAGGTCAGGAAATTCCCAGATTCCACTGGCAACCCTAGAGGAAAGGTTGTCTCAAAGGGGGTTCACACAAAGCTCTTCACACAGAGAACACATGAGGAGATTACTTAGCTGTCAGAAAGTGCCCTTTATGTGCCAAGACTTCCTCTGTGATTGCAGAATGTCTAGTCAGTTTCCCCTCATGTGGAAGAGTTCTACATAAGGATGCACACAGGCTGCATTCATACAGCTGTTGAATGGAACATACTGGCAGTGGAGGGAGGGGATGCAGTTATATGACAGAGCCATACAATTCCTTCACAGAATGAGAGTTCCTATCTGGATCATTCTGTTTCCAAAGCCTGGGGAAGCCTTTGTCAACCTATATGCCTTTCAAACATTCTGGATTACAATTCCTAGCATCCCCAGCCACCACAACCAAAAGATCAGGAATGATGAGATTTGTAGGCTAAAAATGGAGGGAAGCACAAGAAAAACTGGTCTGGGTATATTTGACTCTTTGGGTGAAAAGCATTTAGCTTGTTTCAGAAGAATCTTGGACCCTGGAAAAAAGCAGATGTGTAGGTCGCACCTTTAGAATTTATGTTGCGTATAGATGAGTGGATGTCTGGATGACAGCTGGAATCTTGTTTTCTCCTGGTATAAAAATTTCTTTTTTAAACACAGAGATACTTACAGTTTTTTGTTTATAACAAAGACAGTACAAAATGCCATTGCAATACGTCTAGTATTACCAAGTTTTCTGTTTCCTTATTTCAGGGGTCACCCAATATCTATGACCATGAATTCACTATAAAAGCAGATGCTTATTTGCCCGTGGATGAAACTCAGATCCCCACAGGTTTGTTGACTGAAGATTAATTATTTTAAATCTAGTAATGTGGTTTAGTGAGCTAAAGTGATCAACTCTATAAAACTGGGCTTACCCTAGGGACCTTCTCTTGCTCACATCCCAGCCTATTCAGGTCTACATTTTTGTGTCAAACACATAATCATTTGAAACTAAATAAATTGTAGCTAAAACAACAGTCTTGTAGCAACCACCTTAAAGATTTAGTCATACTTAAAAGGAGACCCACTAAAATAGATTTGGCTTAATTAACTTACGTCCCACTGATTTGAACAGGTCTTACTCTGACTAAATGCAGATATAATCCTAAGAAATTAATGCTTTCAGTCATTGAGCTACCTGCCTTGTCCCTCTGCTGTTGTAACTTTATATTCAAGTATATAAAAAATGTTATGCAGCAGAACAAAGTTTTGAGGAACTAATAATGTATTAGATGCTTGGCCAACCAAGTAGTAACCAGTATTTTCCTTTTCAAAGTTCCTTTTCCCCTCATTGCTTCTCAGTTGGCTAAGTCTGGGTTTTAATGCTCAGAAAGGCCTGCACAGTTGTCTCTGATAGAGTATTTGGAGGATAATTTTATTAACATCAAGCTAAGAAAGATGGGAAAATGTATTTGAGACTTGCTGCTGATGAATAGTACACACTGAATGTGGGAATGGATTGATGTTGGTCTCTTTTGTGGAATTAACTCTTTCCAGGTGTCTATCTTGCTTTCATCCACCTCCATTTGAAAAGTGTCATAATGGGAACCTGCACTATCTGTAGTTTTCTTTGTGACTCTTTCTATATTTTTGTTTGGTTTTGTCTTCCCATCAGGAGAAATCTCTTCAGTGCAGGATACAGCCTTTGATCTGAGAAAGCCAGTGAAGCTTGGACAACACTTGCAGAAATTTCAACTCAATGGATTCGACCACAACTTTTGTCTGACACAAACGAAGGAACCCGGCTTCTGTGCAAGGTACTCATTTGGCTTTCTTACATATAGCAGCAGTAACAAGGCCACTGTAACATATTGTCTCATGCACTTCCTTCTCTTCTAATTTATTGAAAAATATTTCATAGTGATTTACAAATTTAAATGCACATAAAGGCAGACAAAAATAGAAGACAGTTAACCTGGTTCTAACACATCAGCTACAGTTTTCAAAGGCTACTAGAATAACTGCCCTTTTACAGAAAAGCAGGTAGGGAGAATTGGTTGTATAAACCTTTCTTGGGAGATCCATAGCATTAATTTTAGTATGAGATGGGGAATCTGCTGTGCTTCAGCTACAGTGGAGTTTACATGTTACAGTGCCTGGTGAGGCAGTGGCTGTACTGAACCGGTTCCTGGCTGAGGTAATGGGCTGGATGAGGGCCAATAAACTGAAACTTAATCCAGACAAGACGGAAGTCTTGTTGGTGAGTGGATTGAGCTCCTGGGTAGGTGGCCTGGGCCTTGTCCTGGATGGGGTTGCACTCCCTCTAAAGGACAAGGTCGGCAGTTTGGGAGTGCTCCTTGACCCAGAGCTGTCCTTGCAAGCTCAAGTGACTGCGGTGGCGAGGAGCGCTTTCCTTCAGCTTCGGCTAATTTATCAGCTGTGCCCCTACCTGGAGGAAGACTGCCTAGCGACAGTGACACATGCATTGGTTACTTCCCGGTTGGATTTCTGTAATGCACTCTACGTGGGGCTGCCCCTGAAGACAGTCCGGATACTTCAGATGGTGCAAAACAGAGCAGCCAGGTTGCTGACGGGGACTGGGCATTATTCTCACATAACCCCAGTCCTCTACCAGCTTCACTGGCTACCCATCGAAGTCCGGGTTCAATTCAAGGTGCTGGTTATTACCTATACATCCCTTAATGGCTTGGGACCTGGATACCTGAAGGAACACCTTCTTCCCTATTTGCCCTCCCGTGCCCCTTGAGATCGGCAGTAGAAGCTCTCCTCCAGGAACCCTCCACAAAAGATATTAGGAGGCATAGTACCCGGAGGAGGGCCTTCTCTGCGGTGGCACCCCATCTATACAATGCGCTCCCCAGAGAGGTCTGCCTGGCGCCATCGTTGTTTGTTTTTTAGTGCCAAGTTAAGACCTTTTTATTCCAGCGATATTTTAATAAGTTTTAATATTGTTTTTGTCTGTTTTTAATTGCAGCCAGTGTGGGCTGGGGATTTTATTTATGTTATATTTTGTTGTAAGCCGTCCTGAGGCTTTTTGCAAATTAGGACGGCATATAAATATTTTAAATAAATAAATAAAATACCCTCCTCTCCCATTATGTCTTATGAGGCCACATTGCTAGCTTGATGCTGTTACTTTGCACAGTTTCCCTACCTTGCTTCATAGGCAATGCTTCTGCTAGTTAAGAAATTTGCAGTGAGAAGTGAGACACCTTTGTATATCCCTCCAGTAAGCACATTCTTGAAATGTGCATGGAAACTTTACCTCCTATGGTGCCTTGTTGCAGTGCATTGGATTCTCCTCTGTAGGACATCCAACTTCTAGGAGCACCTTTTCAAGGAGGTTTGACACATGAAAGTGGGGCTCAAACCATTATTCATGGGACTAAATTTGCCCCCCCCCCAAATCAGAATGCCAACAAGATATAATGCAAACCTGAATTTTATTGCCTTGTGCAAGCTGAAATTTCTTGCCAAGGAAGCAATTTTCCGAACTTGATACCTTTCAGATGTTTTGGACTACATGTCCCAGACATTGAGTATTGGCTTATGCTGGCTTGGATGTTGAGAATTAAAGTTCAAAATATCCAGAGAACAGGAAGTTGGGTAAGACTGAATTGATGGTAGAAATGGACAATATAGAGGAGTTCTGTCTAGTTTATATTATCCCTCACCTTCTCTGAGAAATTCAGGAGAAATGTTAATGTATTTTTTGTAGTAACTTATGTTTAGATTGTCACAGATTCCAAGAGAATTATGTCCCTAGTTGATCTTGGATACTATAATGCTTAAGTGCCTTGATTCAGCAAAGCTGCTTTGAGCTGATGCTTATCCTGGACTATAGGATGTTTGAATGTTTAAAGAGATGACTTTCTATTTTATTATTACATTTATTATTGCCATTTTACCCTCACAACAACCCTGTGAGGTAGGTCAGGCTGAGTCAATGACTGGCTTGGTCACTAAGTTACATTGCCAAGAGACAGTTAGAACCTGGATCTCCTGAGCCCAAGTTCAACATTCTAACCCAAAACTAGCTTTCCATATGCATCTCTCACATTTATGGATTTTCCTCCAAGGAGCCCAAGGCAGCAGACAAGATCTTCCTCTCCATTCTATCATTGCAACCACCATGTGGACTGAGTCAGTAAATGACCCAAACTGAGCTACATGAGGACTTTAACCTAGGTCTTCCTAGTCCCCTACCTAGGGCCATTAATCATTACATGTGACTAGAACTTAATTTGGGCTCTCTTTTCTGGTCTATTGGATTTATCTTTCCACGTAAAGCCTTGAAGCTTCTAGGTAGCTATTCCTATACCCACTTACCTGAAAGTAAGGCTCCCTGACCACAGTGGAACTTATTTTTGAATAAACCTTGTAGATTAAGAAACAAGAGGAGAAAGGGAGGCAGACCTCAGAGCCTGCTTCAGTAGCACTTCTCCAACCCACCTACTAGCAACAGCTTTTTGTGAAAGATTCTGGGAAAAAGAGGAGTAATGAGGGTTATTCCCTGTTCTAGCTGGACTCTCTCTACCCTCAGTGCCATCTTCCACTAACCAGCCTATGGGAAAAAGCCCAGTATTTTTTTTTTAAAGAAAGAGTTTAATATTGTGATTTGTTACATTCCTCATAAGCCACATTGGTAGAATTCAAAGCCTGAAAGGCGGCTTAGGCTGTCATTTAATCGCTTCCTTTCAATTGGTAAGGGCCCTTCCTTGCACCAAATTATTCAATTACCCTTTATCCGTCAAGAGCCAGTAGTTTCAACAGTTAGAGGCAAAGTTCCAAAAGCATTAAGTCTGTTGGACAGATATTAACACCTTTCTTTTTATAGAGCTTACCATCCCCCTAGTGGCAGGATGATGGAGGTTTATACATCTCAGCCTGGGATACAGTTTTACACGGGAAATTTCTTAGACGGCACTCTGAAAGGCAAAGGAAACCATGCATACCTCAAACATTCTGGCTTCTGTCTTGAAACACAGAACTGGCCAGATGCAGTGAATCAGGTAATTTCTGACTTTTATGTGTGGCCCCATATGTGTATAAAACAAAACTGCACAAAACTGCTGTGGGACCCAACTTCCATAGGTCTCAAGGCCCTTGCCATTGCATTTCCCTTCAATAACTCTGCAAATTTTGGATGCTGGTGGGACCTGATTATGGCTTAATCTCTCAGTGTAATATTACATAATGCAGCCTTGTTGTAATGGTCTAATTTCAGCCTCGAGGCGGGTTTGACTATGCCAAAGATGTTCTTCCAACATGCTGCATTTTCATGTCAGGTTATTTTATATGCACTGAAATTGATAGCTCCCCTATCTACAATCTAAAATGGCACCATCCCTTGAAAGCAGAAGCAGTTTTCTGTATGCATAGCACATTGTCTTAAATGCTAAAAATCCAAAATGATCAAATATGCACCAACCATAAGCCTATGTAAACTGTGCGAAAAGTCAAACTATTGGTGTAGTATAGCAGATATACACATGACCTTGGAAGTCTACAGTTTGAATCTCATCTAAGGTGAACTGAGCAAGCAACTGTAAGGCTCAAAGTTCCCCCCACAATGTTTCAATGCTTGGAAAATACCTGCATCAAGGATAAACCGTCACAAGCTCGAGACTGTAAGGTTTCTAATAAATGCAAATACATGTTGGTTTTTTTCTTGACAAGTGTACAGATTTTGAGGGCTTTTCTTCTGCTTTTTATAGCCTCATTTCCCAGATGCCTTGTTGCACCCAGGAGAGGAATACAACACCACAACATGCTACAAGTTCTCCATATCCTAATCCCTGTAGCAAGATGTTCTGTAGAAATCTGTAAAGATTGTGATCAAAGCAGATTCCAAATTCTATTATCACTGTATGTCATCTTAAAAAGAAAAAAATAGTGCTGCCTACTATATCATGTAGTCTGTTAATAAGCAGAAATGGTGATTTCCAACTTTATTCCATTCCCTTTTCTAGTCTGCTAAGAGTTATGACATCTAAGTTGGGTCTAGTACTGTAAACTCTTTGTTTCAAGTTGCCTGCTATACTCAGTTCATAGACTTAGGTAAGCCATTATCAGCCTGAATGACTCCTCTGCAATATGGATATTATGGGGATAAGGTTATCTGAACCTACGAAATATCACAATAAAATTAAAGGTACAGGTTTTTTCTTTTGTATCTGGTTCATCTATTCCAAAATAGTCAAACTACTGTAAACTACCAGAAAGCTCGAGTATTCCACAGCACAGAATTTGTTGCCACTAAGCATGCTGCCCCCACTGGGCTGTTTTGGGGCTCCTCTAAAGTTTTTTCCCTACTGGTTTGCTTCAAAGTCAACTGATGGTGAAACAGGAACCCTTGGCAGAACTCCCCACTTCCCAGCTCCCAAACCTGATACAGAAGATTGGGGGATCCTCCAGAGCAAAAAGGGAGAACACTATTGCACAAGTATTAAGTCTGCTCATGTGACATTACAATAGCATATATGAAGGAGTCTTATAGTACAATTCTGCAATGTGGAATGCTGTTCCAGAGCTCTAAGTGATTCAGTTCCATTTCGCCTCCTCCCCACCTTTTTTCTTCCCTCTCATCAATCAGCAGCTGATAGCCACTAGGCATGCCCAATCTTTAATGTTTAAACAGTCTGTAAATCTATAATCCCATGAGCCTACTGGTATTTCTTTGTATGTATGAAGTGCCATTTTAGCTATAGCACTCTGCAAATGACCAGATTAGTGTCTTACTGGAAGACCAATTTTTCTTCTCATTCCTTTTTCTCTGGGTTCTTTTTATCTTACAGGTAGGGACTGTCATTGCTTGCACATAAACTGCTCAAGGGGGCATTTTTGGGACTTGTGAAGCATGACATGCCACGGTATTAACCTTGTAATACATACATGAATGAGAGCATGTCTTGGTTCTTCAGGTGACATCCCAGCCCAAGTTGGTCACACATTCCTAGCCCCTGTACCATGCAGGAATTCCCCTTCCCAAGCTCTATACAACTGGAAAGTGGGGGATTAAAGCCACTCAAGACAAAGAATCTCTCAACAGCATGCCACTTGTATTTTCAGAGTAATGCATTTTCTGTAGGGCTATCCCTAGATTATCAATTTGATTGAAGATGCAGCTGTTCTAGTATGACTTGCATGCGAGATCAAAGTACTCTAGACACACTATCTTCACTGTTTATGGGTGCAACCTGAAGTGCTACTTTTGCTTTGCAATTCCCTGAATCATCTTATTAGCATATTTTAACATTCATTAACAAAGGTCACCTACTCTTTTGCTGCAGCACAAAGCTTGTACCAGCTCCACTCTGTTAGGTATTCAGCAGGATATTCTAATGAAGCTTTAACAAAGTTCCATTTCTCATCCAACATGGGTTGCATGTGTCCAGAATAAAACTATTTGAGATTCAAATCACAGCTGCATCAAGAATATGTCCCAGTCAGATAAATTTGAGGCTGCTCTGAAGATGGGCAGAACTACACTTTGTATGTGCTAAGGTAACAAACTACTTAATACCACTAGGCTTCTTAGCTGACACAACTGTCTGACAAACATCATGAACGCCAAAGAAAAATATTATATAGAGTGGCACCTTGGCTCACCAACTTAATCTGTTCCAGGACTCTGGTTGTGACCCAAATTGGTCATGTGCAAAGTCAAATTTCCCCATAAGGGGGTCAATGTAAATGAGGTTAATCCATTCTGCAACTATTTTTTTTTTTTACTCACAAAAATTTGAAGCAAAGTGACAAAGATCGTGGCCATCTCCCCGCCCCCAAGCGATCATGCAGGCGTCACTGTGGGTGTGCTGGGGGGAAGGCAGGCACACTTGGGCAGGGAACACTGGCGCAATTGCAGCTCTCTCCCCAGTACGCTTGCTAGCATGCCTGTGCAGGGAAGGAGGGTGCGTTCATGATCGTCACCTGATGCAGAGTTGGTGACCTGCAGCAAACTTTATGGAATCTGTTCGCAACCCAATTTGGTTGTGAACTAAGGCATTCGTGAGCAGTACCACTGTACTTGACAGTGAGAAGATACATTTGTTTCAATGTATTTTCACTTATTTTTAAGAGCAGCTCTCAATTAGTGTACTATGTAACCCTAATCTTATAGTTATACTATTCTTAGTTTCTAATATATTCAACATACTCCCTTTTTGGCTACTAATGCAGCAAGAAGCTTTGTTAAAAAGTATGTCAGTGGCTGTACTGTAGTCATACTGATCAGAGCAGGCATGAGGTGACCCTTTTCCAAAGCACGAGAAACTCTTCAAGATTCTGCCTTCTTGAGTTATGACCCTACAAATCCTAAGCCTTTTCCTGTACAGAAATATTGAAACTATGAAAGTATACATCACTAAAGCTTTTAAAAATGGACAGGTACTTCTATAGTTTGCAATTGCTTAATTTCAAGATTGATGAATGATTGTTAAAGCGATTAAGCGACTTGTTTGATTATAAAATAAGCATTTTTTATTTATCAGAAACAGCATATTCATTGAATATCATAAATATATCCATGTCAAGACAGTTTAAAGCAAGAACTGAAGTTACTGTTGTTTGATTAATTAACAAGGGTATTAAAATACTTTCAGCCCTTTTTGATTGGAGTCCATTTATTCAATCTGATGTAGAAGCAAGCAAAACTAATCTTCTGTCAAACCTTAGATTTAGTGCATGTTACATTTAGCAGTGAATTAGATTAGAAACCAGTTCATACAGTATTAATTTAAATCTAGGACTTGGCATTTCCAGATGAGACATGTTTGAAAGAGACCATTTTTGAAGTTGGCTTTTAAAGCTCTTCCATCCCCTGAACCATAAACCCTCAACACTTACCATTATGCTAAGCTTGGTTAAAAGAATAAGCATGGATCCTTTGCATAAAGTGAGCCATTGTCAATGATGGAAATTGCAGCTGATTGGGCATATTCCTTGTACAGTATGAAATCATGGAAGATATGTACTATTTCCCTTAAAGTACTGCCTTTTAAAGATGAGAAAACCCATCATTTGGTAAAAATATTTTAAGAGTTTTATATTGGGGGCCTACTTATAGTTTAGCTTCAAGCTAAAATGAGCTAACATAGTACTTTCACCAGGGATCAAAGAGTAAGTGAACCAAGGACTTTGACCTTGTGAGATGTAAACTACATAGCATCAGTCTACCTAGTTCACTTGTCGCCTTTCACCAACAGGAAGAAAGAGTCCAAAGCCTGCACTATTCTGCTATTCCAGATTGAAACCATTCAAAAAGGCCATCTGAACATGCTTTGGGGTATCTTTTTTAGGTAATAAAACTGCTTGCAGTGATGTAAAATAAAGTATCTGCTAAGTGAGCAGATTTGATTTTAGAATTTAGCAGATCAAACTTGGGCATATATACACCATTATAGGATGGAACAGACAAATATTTATTGAATTTATAAGCTGCATCCTTAGCCAAAAAGGCTCTCTTTAAGTGTTAAGTAGCTTCCTTAACACTCTTTCACATATCTTATCACCCTAGGTTGCCTGAAGCACCAAATAAATAAGTTACACTTAAGCTTGATGCAGGCAGGGTAGGAATAGCTACAATTATTTTAAGCCAACATTTGGGTACAACACTAAAGTAGCTGTTTGTAATTTGCTTTAAACATGCACTTGAAATATTAACTGAAGTAAATAGCATTACAGCAAAAGTTAGAAATACACATTTTATTTCATGTGCCCATAAAAAGACCCACTTTTCAGATCACAGGATGTTGTTACATACAAGAAATTGTGCACTAGTCTACTACAGCAGCTTTTACTAAAAGATCCAGATCCTTGCTGCATTAGTCCTAGAAAAGGTTTTTTGATCTACATTTGTCAATAACACCAAAGAAATCCCTTAAAATAACGTAAACAAAACTCTTCCTAACATGTTCTTTGCATTTTTAATCAATTCTTTCAGGACTCACGCTCCTTCGAGGGCTTCCTGATGGTGAACGACTAAGGAAGAAAAAGGGGGAAATCAGGTCACTACGCATTACCCAACTCACTACACATTGCCCGATGCTAAGTTAGTGTTAAAAACTGATGGATTAATGAATTAGTGTTCTTAATTAGGAGATCCATGCTATTTACTAATAGTGCATTAGTAACTTTAACCGTAACACCTATTTGGATAATGCTGTTTTTTTTTTAAAGAACTGTTAGTGGGAAGTAAAATGAAGGCTACAAACTTTGAATTGTTTAAAGCAAACTTATGTTTGCATGCACCCCCCTTTCCACAGGAATATTACCAAGCTCTCCTGAGGAATTCAAGAAGCATACTTACCCTGAGTTAATGGAGAATGGATATAAATGGCTCATATCAAAACTGAAAAAGCAAGACTAAAGATTAAATCAAGTAAAAATGCTTTTAAACACAAGTACTCATCTGAGTAATTAAGACTTTAGTTATTCTGTTATTACAAGGTTAACAGCGAGCTGCTGTGCAATTTCTATATATTCTTCTGCAATACAGCAGAGTTCCTCTGAAGCTTAAGTACTGAAGGCTTCAGTCATAACTACAAGTCTTCTCAGTTTAACTTTGAGCCATTTACATTTATTATCCATTAACATAACACCAAAACAATGTGCTCACAAAATATTAAAAATTCCCTTCTTAGGGAAATTTCTGGATTTGGGTTTAAAGCTTACTACATATGCCACTAGTTAGCCCTCAAAAGAGTTGAGTTACTGTGGCCAACAGTTCAGCAAGTACCCCTTCCTCTACAAAAATGTTCTTATATGCTTTTCTCAGCGAACTGTTTTAGAATCTAAAAAATTGAAACCTTATAAGCAGTTAACAAATGCACCCTTTACAATTCATCTTTATATTACTCTTAAGTGTTTGCTTTATCATTTATAAACATAATAATGCAGTACAATTATCCTGCAGAAGCACATCTTACCTTCTCTTTAGAGATGGTGATCTTGATTTGGAGCGGCTGTTAAAAACATTATTTTGCATTAGGATAAAGTATAAATGTACAGTTATGACCCATCTTTTATAAAATGCTACTTTAACAAAGGACACAAAAAGTCCCATCTAGCAATGAAATGCAAATATAGTAGAAAACAAAATCGCCTTCCTGATTTAAGGCTGTGTTTCAGGCATAAACACAAGCCAATTTCCTCCACAGGAAATGCAAAACTGTTAGGGAGTCCCTAGATGCTGCCTTAAATTAAGGACAATGAGGTCTGAGGTAAGACACATTACTCAGCAATCTGAGCCCCCCCCCCCCCCGCAGCTAGGGTAGAAAGGATGGGGAAGGGAGAAGATCAGAGGCTATCCCTGAGCCTCTCCTTCCTCACCCCCTCCCCAAGCACCATCATTAGGATGGGGGAAAGCCTGCTCAACAAAAACCTCACTAAAGAGGAAGATGGGGAGGCCTTAGGCACTCCTTTCCAACCCACTTCAACTCAGCATGAAACTGGATACAAAGAAGTCTCAAGTTTGGAGGCTTCCATCCTGCAAAGGAGAAACCTGCAGGATTGTGCCTTTAATTAGAAGCACAAAATGTTTTGCAGTTTAGATATGAACCCCAGTCCCTTAGCTCTAGAAAACTACTGATCCTATAGATAATTCAACTAAATCCAGCTTATTGTTTAGAATGATACCTCGAAGTTTACCTGCTTCTTGGTCTTGAAATGGACCTGGATCTGGACCTTGATCTGGATCGAGACCTAGGTATAAGACAAAGTATGTAATTCCAAGATGCTCTCCTAGTCAGGCTAGGCAGATTTACAAAACAGCTGTTTCAGATTATAGTTTAAGGAATTATTAGGAAGAACATCAGTATCAATGTGCCTGCACTATAATATATGCAAAACTACAATAAAGTATGCAGTCAAAATAAGACATTCATTAGTACTGCACTGTGAACAATGCTTTAAAACACCACCTAACAGGCGAGGAAATTGCTGTTAGTTTTCTATAAAACTCCTGCAAGATCATTTCCAAGTCATGTGTGTTTAGCAGATATCTTTGCTAATTATTTAAGTGTTTTAAGCCTCACCTTGATCTCTTTAAAGAACCTGAACGGGATCTGCGTGGTGAGATAGACCTGGATCTACGAGGAGAGAGTGATCTAGATCTGCGAGCCGAGATAGACCGGGATCTTTAAAAAAAAAAAAGTTGGTTTACTGTGTTGCCATTCTTTGAATTTTACACTGAAATATCCCTACCAATTTAGATGCTTACCTCCTGCCACGACTTCGGCTGCGTGAGCGGGAATATCTCCTTCCCCTGGACCTTGAATGAGATCGAGACCGTGACCTAGTTTTAGGTTAGAGATAACTGGTATTAGACCACAAGTTCAAAAGCTATCACGTGTGCCTTTGCCGAAGCCAAAATATCAAAATAACTAAAAATTAGTCTCTGTCAGTTGAAAAAATTCAGGGCCTATTTGTCTTGAGTATTTTTACTACCTAAAAAAGATGTTAAACTGCATAACATTTTAGAATTACATCATAATATAAAACACTATAATGTGTATTTAAAATAAACCTTGCAAGTTTGCAGGTCGACCCTCTTTGGCCCAAGGTCTAGCAGATCTAGACGATCTAGAAGTATCTATAGCCGATCGCTGCATCTAGGTGTTCTCTTCAATCTAACGACGATCAAACTGACAGGCAAATGAGCCAGGTGAGGCTTGATTGACGCAAGAAGATTTTTCTAGGTGGGAATGTGGTCAATCTGGTGTTCCTCTTTTTAAACCGGAGGGGGGCCCCAATTGAAAGCCAAATTTACTGTTACGGCGATCACCGTCTCAAATTTTCTGCCTTTTAAAGAATAAGGTGAAGCTAGGTGTAGATGGCTCGAGGGGATCTGGCCTCTTATGCTGATCACCTCAAGGTCTAGGAGGATCTTAATTGTCGGATTTGCAAGGCGCCTCAGCATGAAATCTTAAGGCTCGTGACATTCTGAATCAAGGCGACTGACTCAAACGAAGAAACCTGAAAGGTTTTGACCAGGTTGATTATTAACATATTAACATTTAAATACAAAATATAAACAATTGAAATATACCCACATAATTACATTTATTTTAAAAAAGGTGCATTATTTCCTTCTTTGCTAACAAGAATGATGATTAACTGTTAGTCTACTTATTCTACACATACCTGCTTCTTCTCCGACGACTATAGCGATGACAATCATAAGCATAATGACCTTTCTCGCCACATTCATAACACCTATCATTAGGATCAAATGGCCTTCTTGCAGGGGGCCTATCATAGCGAGACCGACGAGGCATGCCAGTTGATAACTCCACTCTAACCCTGGAGCCACAGATCACCCTAGAATTAAACAATAATTCACTTAATACCCTTCATAACTCAAATGCAGAAGTAGAATTACTTTGTCCACCAGCTTAACAGCTAGCGTATGTACTTACTTCCCATCTAGACCACGAACTGCATCTTCAGCATCTCTTGGATCCTCAAACTCAACAAATGCAAATCCTGGAGGGTTCCGTGCAATCCACACTGTACGTAATGGTCCGTAATAGCTGAAAGCCCTTTCTAGTTCTCCTTTTCCGGCACCAGTTCCCAGATTACCAACATATACTTTAGTTTCTGCAAAAAATGCAATGTTGAGTATGTCTGTATAGCTTTAGGTTGAATGAAACATAGCCTCACATAAGCTCTACTGTAAGAGCTCTGGGAATATACTGAAAGCAGCAAATCAACACTGTTGCAAACTTATTCTAATCAAGAATTCCCAATTTTATTTCGTAATCAAATAGTCATTACAAGCAATTTAAACTGTTAACTAGTTTCCTTGGAAAAACCCCTTAAGAACCTGCTGGGCATTTCCACCAAAATTCTAATTTACTTTCTAGATTCCTGAACATAAATCTATGCTTTAAGTAAAAAGTTAAAGCAAGCTGGCTGCTTGTTCTGAAAATGAAACTCCCCTTGAGCACTGGACTATATAAGCAGAAATATTAACTTCCATCAGCCACAAGATAACACGAAAATATTTGGGAGTTTTAATCCGAAGATTATAAACATCAGGTTAGAGAAGGCTCTTTTTCATAGTTGTGGGCTTAACAAGGGAATGTTCAACGCAATTCAGCTTAATAAGCATGCATTGGGCCATCTGTTCAGAAACGGCAGGTTTGTTTTGCTAGATGAGCACAGCACGACCCAAGCAATCCGCAAAGGAAATGAAGCAGCGTCTCAGGCACTCAGCCCGCGTACCCCACCCACTGCTCGGGCCCAGGGCCGCTCGCAGTCTAACTCACGCGTGCGCAATACGCTTTCTTCCCTTCCCGCCCCCATTCTCGATAAAAACACGGCAGCTCAGCCTACACGCGCACTAGCCCCAGGCCTCCGTTGCCACTTTCTCTATCCCCACCTCCTTCCAGCCTCCCGCCCCAAAACGCGGGCGACTCAACTCTGGGCGCCGCCATCTTTGGCACCGCCTCCATTTTACCCGCGCAGCGTCAGTAGTACCGAAAGGAGAAGAACAGGAAAAAAAACCCCTTGCCAGCATCTATCAGGGTCTGCTTGCCACACCTGGGTCAGCTTTCGCACGCGGCTCACCAGGCCGCAACCCAATCGTTCTTATTCCGGGCCGATTTTATCCCAGCGTATCTACAGGCCATACATGTGCAAAATGGCGGCGGCGCCGGCCGTTGCCGCTCAACGGGCCTTAATTAGAATATAAACTCAGCTCAGCACTGCTAGAAAGCAGGGCCAGATAAATTAAAAAAAAATAAGAGTCAGTAACGACGTCACATTTCCCGGCTCCAGCCTCACTTCAGCTCGCATCACTCACCTCCACCGTAACGGCTATACCGCGACATCTTCACCCCACGGAAAAAACCAACCGACTCGGCGCGCATGCGAGTTCGAGGGCGTTATATAGCACCTGCCGTTGATGCGCATGCGCATAACTACCGAATGTGCGCTGCGGGAGCGCGAGGCGGGAAAGATAGAGGTTTCGTTTCCATAGGAACGTTAAGCTGAAAGAAGGGAAGGGCGCGTGGAGTAGTGGCTGCCGGGCTGGAAAGTGAAACTAGGCTCCATTTTAAAGGCGTTTACTCGGCGTAACTTACATACTTGAAATGCAGGCCGTTTAAGCGCATATACGACCGGCGGCAAGTGTTATAATATTATGGGTCAGCAGTATATAATACACTTAAAGTATCGCCCGAAATCCTACGAGATTTATACAGGGTTGCCCTGGTATGGTTTGGGTCTCGCTGAAGGTTTTCAGGATGTGGAGTATACAGCCCAGCAACTGTTCGTCAGAAGGTGGTAACAGCCGCTGGAAAGCCCCTTTCGTTAAAATATAGGGCCTAAATGAAGTTAATTCCATTGCAGGTTAAACACGTGCATGAACCCATTGCAATACAATCACACGAACTCTAATCCGTATTAATCCGTATATTCTATTTATTAAATAAAAATAAACAAGCCAGCCTACACATGTGTAAACGAAAAAAAAAGCCCTACAATTCTGGGCATCACTCAAGTTAGCCATGCTTGCTGGAGCATGTAGGAGAATTGTAGGGGTTTTATCCATCTTACGCATAAGATAGAACCTTTGTATTGCAAATCTCTACTCCGTTTACATGAGAGTAAGCACCACTGATTTCAACGCGATTCACTTCTGAGAACACATGGATACGATTGCTCTGTAAATAAACCAGGCAATTGCCACTTGTAGAAAGACTGCTTTTAAGTTTCCGAACTTCCCGCTTTGAGGACCGGTTTGTTATATGGTTCTGCTGCGTTTTGCAGGCTTAGGGCCTGAAAGCGACTAACACAGCCGCAAGTATTAGAAGAAACTGGCCAATTCCTTTCGGATATGGCTTTGGCTGAGAGCGCAATCCCGACCACGTTTGGCGAGAGACGAGGCCTACAACTCCCAGCATGCATCTGGACTTCGTCTAGAAGTGCGCAGGATTGAGCTTTACAGGAAGAGGAGGAAAGCGGCGCCGTGCCTTCTGGGTCCAGGAAGGGCCGCTCGGCTTTGAGCCGCGTGTCCTGTGCTTTCGCTTAATACCGCTATGGTCCGGCTAGCAGCTGCTTTAGGTGGATGTCTGAAGTACAACTTTATCCTCTTAAAATAACTTTAATGGGATTCTGCCTTCTCTTGTTGACTGAAATGAACAGCTGTAATCTGTAAAAGATCAGCTTTAGTGGTGAGTGTGATTTTACTGAGCTGGGCTTCTTCGTGAATTTAAGAGCAAAGCATGGAAGTGTTGTGTTCCGGATTTTAAACTAGTTGCTGTATTGGAAGGTATATCTCTTACAAATGCAAGTGCAACGATTAACGAACAGTGGACGCTTTGCAAAAAAGAGTATTGGAGTAAAAATAATACATCCCGATCTTGAGTCCGAAAGAGGTAGTAAATTGACAGAAGATCCGTACATCCGTGATGTTGGTCAGGCTCTTTACATCTCCCGAGGCTGTAACATTAGTTTAAAAATCAAGATGCGTAGTGTACATCTAGCTTTTTAATAGTTCTTCTAGCTGCATCTTTGATAGAAGGGAGGCACAAAAGCGCTTATAACACTATGAAACATCCTGTGGCGGTTGCAGTATTAGGTCCTTTGCTGCAGAGTAAATTGGAGACACACAATTTATCACACCTACCTGCAATTAAACTCCAGTGATCCTAGTTCAACTTGCTTTTGAGTAGGCATGCATAAGATTCTGCTGTGAGTTCAGTTGGATCTACTCCCAGTTAAGTGTGTATCAGTAGTCATAGACTTTTTTTTACTCAAATTGATATTATAGCAGATAAATTCATTTGCTTATAATTACAACATTTTTTCCTTTATAGCTGTTGACAAGTCCATTATGCAGTTGGATTTAGAAAGGGAATGCCTAATTGGTGTATGGATCTCAGGAGCAATTTAAAATGAACCTCATTCTGCTGGGCTTAAAGAATTGTCTTTTTAAGGGCAGCTGAAGACATATAGCATTGGCTAAGTTGGAGCCTTTTGTTTTCACAAAATGCTCTCAGAGAGCTTTCCATTTAAGTAATACTGCTTTATGGTGGAAAGTTATGTCTGATTACAGTGTGTTTTGTTAAGACTTGTCATGCAGTCCTGTGCCTTATTCAGTCTGCTTTTGCTGATGCCTATGTATAATTACTAGAAATGAGTTTGCATTTCATACAAGTCCATCAACATACATGGGAAAAATATATTTGCCACAGACACTCCATTGAGGAACCTTTTGACAGGTGGCATTGAAGGTGCTTGCATGCACCCTGTCGGAACTCCTGTATCTGCTGCCAGATTTGTCATGCCTATTCCCTTATTGGCCTTGTTCCTGATCCTGATCAGCTTTTAACAGGGGATGTAGCATACTCCCATTTGTTACTTAAGCTGTTTTATATCGAAACATTTTGTATTTTAAAATCTCTAGTTTAAATCTGTACATTTTTAAAACATGTTTTTATATATTGATTTTCTTCTACTCAAAAATGAATTGTATAAAATGTTAATTGGAAGAAGTTATTGGTAGTCATTTTGTTTTCAGAGTATTATGTACATTGCATCACCAGCATATTGACTACTTCTGAGTATTGTTATTAGTTCACTATATTTAAATCTTTCCATTTTCCCTCTTGTGAGGGACCCAAGGCAGTTTATATGGTTTTCTTACTCTCTGTTTTTCCCTCACAGGAACTTGGGCTGAGAGTCAGTGACTGGCCCAGGGTTACACCATAAGCACCACAGTGAAGGGAGATCCAGGTTTTAGTTCTCCGCAGTCCCAGTCTTGCTAGGCCACATTTTCAGCTAGTTGTTTGGGGAGGGAAGCAGCATTGCACTTGTTCTGCAGTTCACTGGGGGTGTGAGAGAGAAACTGTGAGGCAGCAAGGGAGTCAGGAGAGCAACTGAAGGCTGCTCAGGTGCATCACCTTCTCAGGGTGGCTACAGTTTCATTGAGGCCCGTCTTGCAGCACTACTGCCCCCACAAGCCCAGCAGCCCTCCAAAGTTACTGCTCTCTCCAGAACAGTAACTGCAGATATAGCATATGCTGAAATATATATTTCAGGAAAATGCAACAATTTTTTAAAAGTCATAACTGGTCTGAAGAAATCTAGGATGTAATGGCAGAAAAGGCCTCAGGATGGTGGTTTGGGGTAGGCATTGTGTGAATCGGGCATTACAATGCTGTTAAAAACATCTCTCACAGATTCCCCCATTAGCACAAGACAGCTCAATATGCAATTCTTGTTTTCTCATTAGCTTCAGCAAGTTGGAAATATGACTGAGTGGCAGAGGAAAACACCTTTAGAATGGCTGGCTTATGTAAATAAAGAAGTGAATGTTCTAGCAGCTGAAAAGCACCAGTATAAAGGATGGGTTTTAACAGTTGACCCAGTGTCTGCCAAGTAAGTAAGAGCAATAAATTGATCCCTTTTCAAAATCATTGGGCATAACAAGAATATGCAAGAAAAACACCATTTCTGGTGGGGTGGGGGACAATCTTAAAACATCTGTAAAATAGATTAAAATAATGCATTTTCCTATTTTAAAATGTCATTCAGTTAATCTATCATTGGTATGGGGAAAACAGCAGTTTTAAAGCCTGACACCAGATTACATCAGTGTGTAGAAATTAAACTTTATTTGGATTGCTGACCATTTTAGGTTTCAGTGATATTTTTTTATGAATAGGACAGTGGAACATGTAGAGAGAGCGTGAAATGTCAGCTTGACGTACATTTTTCCATTACTAAAAGTGAACAGGAACAATCAAGTATAAGCTATTTCACTTAGAAACACCTACAGAGTTTTGTGTGTAGAGCATTTTTGCAGAATGAGTTTAGAGAAGGGAAACTTTAGCAGCTAATTAATTATTAGCACTCCTTGATGTGCTAATAATATAACTCCAGTTCAGTATTACTAAGGAAAAAAAGTGTGGAAGGCTTGTAGTATTCAGAGTACAACTTCTGTTGTTCTAAAAAAAGGGGGTTTGACAGTTCCTCTCCTACCACTCCAACCCATTTTGATTTAGGAGGAAATGTTTTTTATGACACTGCATGTGGGTGATCTGTCCTATTACTGCTTGGCTTTTTACAGATCCTGTGCTGTGTAGCTTCAGGCAGTAAGACTGAAATGTTTCTGGTGAGGATGATTAGGGCTAATATGTTGATTCCTTACAGTTCTGTTGGGATAATGTGAGTTCAGCCTGTGATTTCACTGCAGTCTTGCAGTGTACAGTTTTTCTCTGGGTGCTTGGTTCTTCATGGACATGTTTTTAGGATTGGTGTTGAGGCTTGTGTGCTTGTATGTGAAGGTTGAGTACACATTGGATATTCAACATTTTGCACATGGTTTGTTGTTCTTCTGACTTAATAAACTTTGTATGAATCCCTAATCTTGACAGCATTCTTCTGGCAAATCCTGCTGAGAACGGAAAAGTGTTCATCACAGGTGTCTTGGGCCATGCTGTGCAGGATGTAGAAATAGTGACTGAAACAGAAGAGGAGATGAAAGAGAAGCTTGCACAGCTCTTCATGCCTGGAGAAGGCCAAACTTATAGTCAGGAAGAGCTGGAGGAAAAAAAGAACAATTTGAAGAACTGGCTGGAGAAAAACCATATCCCTGTAATAGAGGAAGGAGACTCACAAGCAGTGCTGTGTATTGCAGGGGTGCTGACTATCAACCCGCCATATGGACCTGAAGACTGCAGCAGTTCCAATGAAATAATTTTATCTAGAGTCCAAGGATTGATACAAAGTTACCTTGCTCTTCAGCAGTGAAAAGTTATTCTCATTGATTGAGGAAAATGTAGTCTTACATTTGAAAAACCTATGTGATATCCTTTGATTTTTTTCCCCTCAAGATACCTCTGTTCGAGTTTTGCACTGTTCACAGAAAGTCTGATGCTGACGCAGTCAAAGTTGGCCACCTTTTTCTGAATTTCAGCTTCCTTTCTGCGTAACTACCAAATGTAACACAATTGTGCTAATTTTATATTTTTGTATGAAAAGAAGAGTTCAGGTTCTTTTCTTTCTCTATGATCACCCCCACAATCCTGGGACACTTCCTATATATAGAATAAACAGTTGTAAAATAGCTACATGAAATTATCCAGAAGAGGTATTGCTACCTTAAGCCACTCAATAGGCTTCTTGCTACTAAATATTAAAATTTCTCTAAAATGTACAGCCAGTATACAATCAGAAAAATGAAAATATCTGAACAAGCACATTTCTTTTTAATCAGCTAGTGCTTTCACAAATAATATATTTGTACAAGCCTGTGCCGTCCTTACATCCTCTGAGAGGCCATAGAATTCCTGAGCATTCTGGCTCCACGATCACAAGACCTTGCTGTCTCCAAAGGCTGAGCATCTCACTGCCCTGCTGGAGCCAGCCCTGAAATAAGTCAAATTAACTGCTCCCCACCGAGTTTGCTCCTGGGCCTCAGAGGTGGCCAATATGACATGGAAGGTAATAGGGAAGGGGGCAAGGACTTAGAATGCCTATCAGTTTTCCAGCTTCCTTCCCTGCCTCTTCACCTTGCTTTATCTAGATGGCCAAAAACACACTGTAGATGAAGTGTGGGGCACAGGGTGTTAGGCCTCTAGCTTCAAAGGACTGCAGTTGGACTGTGCCATAAAACTCCAAGAATTGCTATACTAGCATTTTTCCTCCACTAGAAGGTGTTTGTATTCACTGCAAAGGTGTGTATTTCACTGTAAGATGATCTTTTTAGAAAGTGATACAGCTACACCACTGGTCACTACGAGTATAGAATGAATTACTACAGTGCAGTCTGTGTGTATGCAAATAAAGGACATTACCTTCAGTTGACTGTTCAGTTGTTCAAGGGCATCAGTGAAAACCAAGTCAGGCCTCTGTAGCAGAAATTAAAGGGTGTGATGGAATTGCATAAATGCAAGTAAAGCTGAGTCATTCAATCCCTCCATCATCAAAGGCGTGTGACTTTTTTTAAATGAGAGGACAGTGTTCCGTTTCCAACCTAAACTTTTGATTCTTTCTTTTGACAGAAATTTCTGTGAACTTAAGGAGCAGTCCCTCAAAGGAGTTACATAATAGGGAAGTTTGTGTAGTTGTTTTATCACAGCCAATGGAGTTTTAGCTTTGCCTAGGTATGGAAGGGAGGCTGGGGGGTGCAACTATAAGGGTGGTGATGGGGAGGGACATATCTGTGTTGTAGAAGAGAGGACAGCTATCTCATACCTGTCCCATCTTCTTGCCCTTCCCCTGCCAAACGGTCCCTGGCAGGCATGTCGGACTGTCTTTTGGCGTATGGGTGCTGTTGTTAAATGCCAGGTGGGTCCAGAATAAAACCTTTCTCATGATTTTGATGAGGGGGCTGACCTGGTTTGGATCACTGAAACCTGGGTAGAAGTGTGGGGTGGGGTGGTTCCCTCTCCCAGTTGTGCCCACCTGCGTATTTGGTTCAACACTAGCATTGCTCAGAGAGCTAGGAAGCACTCCTTCATCAGAATTCTGGTCCAGACAAGGCCAGGTTTGTACCTGACATGGGGATTTTGCTGGTGTATTACCCACCTAGCTACCTAGCATTCTCCCTGCCGAAGATGATGGAAGTAACCTCAGGGCGACTCAGGACTTCATGGCCACTATGACAGCTATGGGGCTGTCTCAACATGTGACTGGCCCAACACATGAAATGGGGCACACTCTGGATTTGGTGTTTTCAACAGATTTGGAAGATGTGGAGTGGTTAACTTTAACCCTATTATTAATTTATTAAAAGCTTTTCTAATCCATCAGCCACTAGCGTCTTGGGATGGCTATGGGATTCCTCAGGCTTTATACTGTCCCCCTTGCTGTCTAACATATACATGAAACCGCTAGGAGAGGTCATTCGGGAGTGGGGAGAGGGGCTGAGGTGTTATCAGTATGCTGATGACACCCAGCTTTACATCTTTTCATCCAACCCAGGTGAGGCGGTTTCCATTCTGAATCATTGCCTGAGCTTGATAATGGACTGGATGTGGGCCAACAAATTGAAGCTGAGTCCATGTAAGATGCAGATACCGTTGTGATAGTCCATCTGCCCAAAGGGTGGGCCTTCAACCAATCCTGGATGGGGGGGGTCACACTCCCCCTGAAGGACAGGGTTCATCGGTTGGGGGGTGCTACTGGGCTCAAAATTATCACTTGAGTCTCAGGAAGACTCAGTAGCCAGGAGTGTCTTCTTTCAACTGCAATTAATTTATCAGCTGAGGCCCTACCTGGACAGGGAGAGCCTAGCCAGAGTCACCCCCCCCCCCCCACATTCTGGTAACCTCTTGACTGGACTATTGTAACACACTATGTGGGGATGCCCTTAAAGACGGTCCACAAACTTCCATTGGTACAGAACAGAGCAGCACGATTGCTGGTACAAGTGGGACTATGAACCCATGTAACCCCAGTACTTATCTGCATTGCTTACCAGTTGAGCTCCAGGCCTGATTTAAGGTGCTTGTTTTACTATATAAGGCTCTAAACGGATTGGGACCAGGGAACCTGAAGGACCATCTGCTTCCATATGTGCCTACCCAGCCTCTAAGATCACTTTCAGAGGCCCTTCTGAAAGAGCCATCCTTCAAGGAGGTAAGGCAGTAGAAGAGAGGCCTTCTCCATAGTTGCGCCCCACCTATGGAAAAGCCTCCCAAAAGCAGTTTGCCTGGCACCTTCACTATATACTTTTTGGCACCAGGCAAAAACAACTTTATAATCTAGACATTTAATAAATGATTTTATTTTGATAATAAAATATGTACAGCTTTAAATTATTGTTGTCAGCTGTATACTGTCTTGTTTTATTGTCTTTTGTTCATTGTATTTTAATTGTTTTTATTATTACTGTTATTATGTTTTAATGATTGTGATTAGCTAGAGGACCCCTGGGCTGATTAGCAGAAATAAGTCTATAAATAAAATAACAAAGTTAGTCAAGTATTGATAAGTTGATAGAAAAAGATTCAGCCAAGAGTAATCTTGCTTGTTCTTACTTTCCTTCTTTTCTTTTCTAGTGATAGGATGTGTCCGACAGCAAATAGCAATAGCAAACTGACATGGTAGGATGCTTGTAGTAATATATAAGCATTTATCTTCTCTCTGGCCTAACTAAAGTTACATTACTGAAATTCAGAAATTTAATTAGTAAGAACACTACATGAATGTCTGATGAAAAATAAAATCAGAAGAAGGATCTACGTAATCAACAACTTGCTGTTTATTTATAAAGCTTAGTGGTTGTGATGTATCTGGCCAACAAGCACTCAAGATTACAACATAATTCTATACATCACTTTACCAGCAGATTTGTTTGTATGGTCATAGCGATTATACAGCCCTCCACTAACACCCTGCCCCTTTCTTATCTATTCAAAAACAACACTGAAACTTCTGCTTTAAGTATTATTGAAAGTCATGGGGCATCCCCTTAACTTTGGCAGTAGATTGTGCTCCTTGTCTGTCGAGCTGCCAGGCTGATTCAGGATCCAAGGCCTTGAGTGAACTGCCTTTTAGTTTTCACAGTCATTTTTCTGCCTGTGCAGGAAAGTGTTTCAGGAGTACATATGTACATAAGCTCAGGAGATGGCAGTGCTTGGACATGGGTGTGGCAGGACTTTCAGCCATCCTTTGGCAAAGCCTAGAATGCTTCACAGTTGCAGAAGCAGAGCCAGCATCATCTGAAGGAAGACAAATGTGCTTCAAACATTCTAAGGTGGAAAAACAGACCATCCTCTTAATACTTGGGAAAGGAGGAAGGTAACTCCCAAGAGCTGAGACAAGTGGAGTCCTGGATGCAGGGCAGATCAGAGTTTACTTTTGTGCTAAAAGTTTAACTTCACAAAGTGTTCACCCACACATATTTGAATTCATTGGTAGCTTGATCAGGTAAGGACCAGTTTAAAGATCCATTTTAGATCTTTCATTTTGGATGCTTCAAAAGGATCTGCCATCCATTTTCTAATTACACCTGTCTATGTAATTAGAAAATTACACAGACAAATGTTATGGTTAGCAAGTCATCCTGCCTTTTGGAGAAAGGCAAGACTAAATATACCATAATTTTCCACATTAAAAGCATCAATACTTTATTGGACAAAAATTGTGAAAACAATTATGGTTGGAATTTTTTTCATCTCTCTTAAAGCTTCTTTCACTTGAATAAAAACTATAATTTTTCTCTCATTTTGCAGAGGGATACTTCTCGTGGAAAAGGATTTTGCTTTAAAATATGCATCTCTGTAAGTGTGTATCAATGTGTACCATGATTCTAACAGCATATATTTCTCCAGGTAACATCATTAGGGTTATTCCAAATATACGGTTGTTGCTGTTTTTAAATAATACCCTTTGATAGCCTTACACTTCCAGTCAGAGCTGTATACATGTTACATTGACAGGTGTCAGTGTTGCTTCAATCACTCTTCAGTTATTCTGCTGATGAGTCTTAAGCAAATCCTTGGCGGTGGGTATTATTGCGTGGTCACAAGCTTGACTATCATGCTAATGATTCGAGATCCTCGAGGGCAGGTGCATAGATCCATGCTGGGATTTTTCACTTTATCCTGGAGTAGCTGGTCAAGCTCACAGCGAAGTTCCTTCACTAGTTCTGCCACCTAAAGACACAAATATTCTTAAATGAGTAAGTACCAAATACAAATGCAGGACTATAGCTTATATTTGAGTCATAAGCTGCATGCACTTACAAGCTATGTTTTCTAAACCTCTGAGATTCCAATAGTAAGCCAGGTTTAAAAGGAGTAGTACTGAATGAGACCAAGAGTCCATCTAGCCCAACACCGTATTCACACAATAGAGAAACATCTAATTGTGAGGAAGCACGTAAGCAGGACATGAATGCAACAATGCCTATTTGTTCCTGTTCCCCAGCAACTGGTGCACCCAGGTGTATGGCTTCTGATACTGAAGGCAGTACATAGCCATCATGGTCAGTTGCCATCGATAGTCTCCTCCTTTCATTTGGTGACCTTAACTACATGTTATGGTATCAAAGTTCACAGCTGAACTATGCACAGTATGAACAATATTTCCTTCTATCTGTCCTGAATCCCCTGTCAATCCTCTTCCTGAAATGACCACAAATGACTTTCTAGGAAGAAAGAACAGGCTTCAGATCCTCTTGTTTGGTAGTCCTCAGTCTATTTTCAACCTGTGCGAAGACCCATATGCTGAGGGTCACAACATAAGGGCTCTCTTCCTGGCTTAGCCAGTCCAGCTTTCTCTTTCCTATAGCAGCCACTTAGACAATTCCCATGCAAAGCATAAAGGGGAATGCAACCTCGTCTGTGTTCCTAGCATTTCATATGCACAGGAATGCCAAACTGAGAATGGAGGCTTTGTCTAGAGGACATGGCTAATAGCCCTTTATTTTCTGATCAGCAATTCCCTACATGGCATAAAGCAGCTGCTTCTGTTTCTGATGCAACACAGGACAGATCCTAGCTAGATCAATAGATATAAATACAACAAATAGATCTGTGCGCTTACATAAAGTGGTTCAACTGATTTGGGGCATCATTTGAAATCAATGAGAAAAAAAATGCAAAATGAGAAATGCATTCTCAAAAGTGCCAACAAATACTGATTCAGGTAATATTTTTATTCCCACTGAGCAAGTCCTATAACACAAGAAAATTGGTAGTCTTTAAGGTGCCACAAGAATCTTTGTTTATCTCTGATGAAGTCTTCAAGGTCACATTAAAGCTGTGGTAATGCTTTACTATAAACTTGCCCTGCCTCCAGTTGGGAATTGAAAGGAGTGTGCTAGTCGTAATATCGCAAAGATATGGTATTGAGGCGGCAGAGGCATCTCACCGTGCCCTTGAGGATGTTTTGTTTCTCAGCCTACAGGCTACTTCCAAGCCTTTCAGCCATAAACAACAACCAGAACTGATAGGCTTTGGAAGTTAAGAAATTGATTAGACTAAATGCTACCCAAATTATAAGTCAGGCTTCTCCAACCCCACAGCCTGCAGATTGGTTGGATTGTAATTCCTACCATACTGAACCAGCTGACCATTTTGACATGCTGGCTGGGGATGATGGGACCAATCCAACACATCTGCAAGGTGGTAGGTTAAGGAAGGATGTTATAAGCTTACTGAAACTGGTATCATTTATCCATTACAGCCCAGTGGGATGAATGGCTCCAAAGAAGGCTTTGGTTAAGGGTTATAACCAGTTCTATAGAAAGAACTGCTTTGCCGTCAATCCCTCTCTTCATGCAGATAATTTCTCCACCACAGATACTGTGTATGTGCTGAGAGCTGCTCATTCCCTTACCTGGTGTGAGGCTGCAACAAAGCGGATCCATCCATCATCCAGGGAGACGACAAACTCGCCCTTTTGGAGATACACGTTCACGTGGCCTCCTCCAAACAAGATCAGTGGGTACACCGACACCATGCTGCAGTCCCGAATAAACACCCGGCTGGTTTTTATCATCTCATGATACACCAAGTAAGGGCTTTCGAAGTGCCTTGTCTGAAATATTTATCCCAAAGAACAGCAGTGAGATAGTACAAAATAGTGGGGTTCCACACAGACATATCTTCAATTGTATGATATGCAACACAGTTTGCAGACTTTGAGGGTAAACGTCAGCCCTGCCAGCATAAGTCAGCCAGGTGCCAGAGGACTGGGTGGATTCCAAAGCTTCTACACAAGCCTTGCATGGGTATAGTAAGCTGAAGGAAAGAGCAGATACAGCTGCTCTATGTCTCTGCACAAGAGCAGGTTGCTTACCTGTAACTGATGTTCTTCGAGTGGCCATCTGTGCAGTCACACATATGGGTTCTGCGTCTGCGCAGTGCCTTTGGCCGGAAGATTAACAGCTAACAGTTTTTGGCAGGAACTCCGCTCCCCCTCCCCCCTAGCATTATATAAGGAGAGGAGTGTCCGCCATTTTCCAGTCTTTGAAAGACTGACGTTTGTTCTTATAATAAGGTTTGTCAGTATGACAAGATAGCCAAATTCAGTAGTGGTACGACACATAGCAAAGAGATCATAGTATCGAAAGAAATAGTCGGACCACCCATGACACCAAGCAGGGTCGGAGGGTGGGTTGTGTGACTGCACAGATGGCCACTCGAAGAACATCAGTTACAGGTAAGCAACCTGCTCTTCTTCGTCGTGGCCTCTGTGCATCACACATATGGGTAGAATAACAAGCTTACCCCAAATGGAGGAGGGAGGTGTCATCAGCGAAGGACAGAAGAAAGGACAGCTCTGCCAAAAGAGCAATCCTGCCTGGCACGGACATTGAGTCTATAATGTCTGGCGAAGGTACACGGGGTAGCCCAAATGGCTGCCCTGCACACATCTTCTATCAGGACCCCTGATGCAAAGGCCGAAGAAGCAGCAACAGCTCTTGTAGAATGACCTCTTGGAGTAGATGGCAAGTCCAACTTAGCTAATTGATAAGACAGGACAATTGTATTTACTATCCATTTCGAAAGATGTTGTGAAGTGACTGGACAGCCTCGGTCATGTTCCGAATATTTCACAAAAAGTCTATTGGAGCGCCGAACAGACTCAGTCCTGGACCTATAAAAGGCTAAGCAACAACGAACGTCCAGCATATGTAGAGATCGCTCTATCAGATTCGAAGGGGTCGGAAAGAATGCCGGTAAAACAATCTCCTGTTGCATGTGAAACGAAGTAGCGACTTTCAGAAGGAAAGACGGATCCAGCCGAAGAACCACTTTTTCCTTATGAAAATTTAGAAAAGGGGGGGTCTACCCGAAGGGCGCAGAGTTCAGAGGATCTACGGGCTGAAGTCACTGCAACAAGGAAGGCAGTCTTCCATGAAGCAAGGCGTAGATCGATCGTTGCCATGGGTTCGAAAGGTGATCGAGTCAGCACTTTTAAAACCACCAAAAGACTCCAGGTGGGCATTAGAGGTCTTATAGTTGGATGCAGATTACTCAATCCTCTCAAAAATCTTTTAATCAGAGGTTGAGCAAAAATGGAGAGACCATGTATAGTTCCCCAGTAATGTGAAATCGCTGCTGTATAAACTTTTATGGACAAAGGTTTGAGTCCAGACTGATGCAATTCAAAAAGAAACTGAAGTACCTGTGAAACAGAAGCCGAGGGGGCCGGAAACGAGTGTAAATTGGCAAAGTTAGAGAATCTCTGCCATTTTGCCACGTACGACTTCCTAGTAGATGGTCATAGCGCAGATTCGAGAATATACTGTAGGTCTGGGTGTACACTCTGCTGAGCAGGAATGGCTGGGACGGTTGGTGGTGTCGATACCGGTGCATCGCAGCTGGTCATCGTATCCTCCATGCAGTCAGTTTCAGTGACAGCAAGTCTGGGTGGCGGATCGTGCCCTCCCTCTGGGTAACGAGATAAGGAAGAAGAGGGAGTTGGAGAAATTCTTCTTGGGAGACGTGAAGGAGAGTTGAGAACCATGGCTGGCGTGGCCACCAGGGGGTGATCAGTAGCCCTGTGGCCCCTTCGTGAATGATCTTTGCCAACACTCTTATGATGAGTGGGATCAGAGGGAAAGCATTTTATTCAAACGTCATTTTAATTGCTAATATTATTTGCTTATTTTATTCTTTGGCCAGGGCGACTTATTTTATATTGTTAATTCGTTTTATATTTTTAGTGTATTATATTTTAATTGATGTTTTGTGAGCCACCCCGAGGCTTCAGCGAATGGGGCGGCATACAAATTTTCTAAATAAATAAAAAGTCATATTTGTCCAGGGGATCATGAAAGCATCCCCGAGCGAGTCCTGACCCATCCCCGCTCTGGAACAATAGGCCGTGCATGCCCTGTTCTGTTGTGTGGCAAACAGGTCGATGTCTGGCTGGCCCCATCGGTGAAATAGCATGTCGCGAACCCGATGGTCTAGCTCCCATTCGTGTGACCATGACATATGTCTGCTCAAGAGATCCGTGTCTGTATTTTCTGTGCCCGCAAGGTGAACTGCTAGAAGAGTGATACCTCTCGGTATGCACCAGTCCCAAATCTGCATGGCCAGGCGGGCTAGTTTCTGGGATTGGGTTCCCCCTTGTTTGTTCAAATAAAAGAGCGTCACCATGTTGTCTGAGGTCACCTGGATGACCTGGTGTAGAAGCACATCCTCAAATGATTGCAGGGCTTTGAAAATGGCAAGAAGTTCCAGAAAACTGATATGGTTCCTGCAATCCCGGTGACTCCATATCCCCTGGGTACGTAGATCGGAGCAAATTGCTCCCCATCCCAGCAGAGACGCATCGGTGCCGAGGGTTACTGTAGGGTACCGGGGTTGAAACGGAACACCTACAGTCAGATTGGCTGGGTCTATCCACCATAACAGGGACTGAAGAACGGAAGCCGGGAGTCGAATCCATTTGGTAGGTGGATCTGTCTGTGGTCGAAACATTCCGTTGAAGAACAGTTGAAGGGGATGTAGCCTGAGTTTGGCATGCGGAACCACAGCGATGGAAGCAGATATGTGTCCCAACAGGCTCTGAATAGACCGGGTGGGGACGGTTCTTGCTTGTCGAATCTGAGCGATGCACTGAGCAATCGCATGCCGTCTGTCCCGAGGAAGGAAGGCTCTTGCCAACGTCGAATCCAGCCGGGCTCCGATAAAGTTGATCACCTGTGTAGGGAGAAGGGAAGATTTCTGTTGATTAATACAGAGTCCGAGATCGTGCAATAGAGCACATGTAAACTCAACAGCAGACGAAAGTCCTGCTACTGTGTCGGAGACCAGCAACCAATCATCAAGGTACGGGTATATCCGAATTCCACGTAATCGAAGGTGTGCACAGACAGGAGCCATACACTTCGTAAAAACCCATGGTGCAGTGGCTAATCCAAACGGTAGCACATTGAATTCGTAGATTTCAGAGTCCACCGCAAAACGAAGGAAACGCCTATAACTTGGATGTACTGAAATATGAAAATAGGCATCCTTCAGATCCATTGAGGCTAACCAATCCCCTCTTCCCAGCAACGGGAGAATACTTTGAAGTGTGGTCATCCAAAACTTCTTTGGTGTTATGAATCTCAAGTGCAATATTGGTCTGAGACCTCCATCTCATTTCGGGATCGTAAAGTATCTGGAATAGAACCCGTGGAATCCCTCCAATAACGACAGGCAACAAATAGCTCCTTTAGCAAGGAGTTGGTGAATCTCGTCTAACAGTACCAAGGAAGTCGGAATATAGCGGATAGGATTCGGTGACGGCACAACGTCGAATTCGATTCCATATCCGTGCTGAATGATAGATAACACCCACCCATCAGATGTGATGGACTCCCAAATGGAGAGCCGACTCTTCAGTCGATCCCCAAATGAGAGGGGGGAGGGTAGAGTTGGAATGAGAGGAGAGGTTCGCTCGTCGCATCAGCGCTGTCGCCTGTCCGTATCAAAACGGCGGCGGCCCTGTTGGGAGCTGGGGTGGTTGTTGCCTGCGACGCTGCTGACGTTGATGCAGTTGCTGTTAAAGAGGCGGAAACTGTTGACGGTACTGTGGACGTGACCATGACCATTTACGTTGGGGTAGAGACTGCAATTCCATACGATGGGCCGTCATCCTTGATTCATGGATTTTCTTCAATTTGCTATCCGTCCTCGCATGGAAGATTTGCTATCCGTCATCACTGGAACCGTCGAACGACAACTCCTCAATTCTCCACTTCATCTTGTCCAGAAAATTGCAATTACGCAACCAGGCGTGTCTGCGGAGGGAAATGGCACCGACCAGTGACCTCGAATCAGAGTCCACGTGGTGCCTCGCGGTGGAAAGCTGTTGCACCGCCACTTGCATAGCTTCCTTAACAAAAGTCTTAGCAAGTTCACCCTGGTTTCCTGGGAGGGTATCGATGATGGCGTCCAGGCGTTGCATAAGGAAATATTGGTAACGCACCAGCGTTGCCTCATAATTAGAAATTCGTAAACCAAGGCCCGAAGCTGCGTATACCCGGCGGGTGAGGGAATCAACCTTTCTGCCCTCTTTGTCACGAGGCGAGGTGTGTCCACGGGTTTCCCGACCCTGCGAGGATTCTACAACCGAATTCGGCTTGGGGTGACAGAGAAGAAATGGGATGTCCTCTTCCCGCACCTGATACATGGACTCGTATTTACGAGAAGTCGGTTGTGGGTGAGCTGGGAGGTCCCATGGCTGGGTCATTGCCTGCCGTAAGGTTGTAATAAATGGCAAGGCAATAGATGTGGATCGTTCACCCCTTACCACAACATAAAAATGATCAGTGCTCGGTCCTGGTTGTTGGTGGGCTTCTATATCGAGCGATCTCACTAGTCTGGCCATCAGATCGTTAAACGATATATATGGTTCCTCGGGCGACCCCGGGCCCTGAGAAGCAACTGCTGCATCCGGCGAGGTCGAGTCAGCCTCAGACTCGTCGGATTCCATCCAGTAGGGGGTGGTACATTGGAGGAAGAATCTCCTGGTGACTCTGATCTGACACTTTCTTTAGATGGGGCCCTAGGGGCGTCTCTGGGCGTTGAATGGAAACGTTCCCAAGGCGCTGGTGGTGAAGATTGTCCCCTGGATGACGTATAATAGGCTACAGAGTGGTACTCTTCCCGTCTTGGAGTGGAGGAGTACCTGGAGTGGTACCAATCATCAGACCTCGCATCCGAGGAACGGCTCCTATGTCTTCTCGGAGGGGAGATGGCGATCTCAGTATCCATCGGGATTGGAGGCATCGGGGTTGGTGATCGAGCTCTAGGTGGAGAATCTCGTATTTCGCCATCAGAGATGGAACCACGCCTTGACTCCAGAATGGGTTCGGCTGTCGGTCGGCGCGGTGAGCCCAGTGGGGTAACCCTCATAGCCACCTGGATGGTCGGGACCAAGGGGGTCGGTTCCGAAGCAGGGATCGGAATTGAGGAAGAGGCCGAGCCCGAGTGGCGGTGTTTTGCCTGCTCGGGGTTCTTCGGCTTCTTAACCGGCTTGCCCGTCTTATCTTTCTTGGCCTTCTTATGCACAGGATATTTATCTGAGTCGCTGTGCTTTCTTTTTTCCTTTTGTTTCCTCGGCAGGGAAACAGACTGGTCGGCCATGGTATGAGAGCCTTCTCCAGAAGGGCGTGAGGGCGGAGCAATGGAGGAAGAGGCCGGGCGTTGCGGCAGGTCAGCTGAAGTTGGACGGCCTTCGGGTGGGGCCACAACAGTGGAAGGCTTAGCCACCAGCCAGTCCGATTGGAGGAGAGCCTGGTCCCATAAGAGTTTGCGGAGGTGGTTCTCCCTGTTCTTCCTCGCCTGTTTAGAGAAGGCCAAACAATGGCCGCACTTATCGGTTCTGTGCCCTTCCCCCAAACAAAGGAGGCACAGATCATGCGGGTCCGCCGCGGGCATTTTGAAGCCACATTTTCCGCACTTGCGGAACACCACCCATTGCGCCATCATAGAAAGAAGAAAAAAGGAGATAGTAAAGCGGGAAAGTAATTATTTTGGGGGGTTTTTTTATAGGAACGATAAAGAGGAAAAAATGGTGCAAAGTTAAGAAGAAATATAAGTGAAGTACTAACAACAAGAACAAGGGATACAAACTTGGTAGGAAAAAGGAGAGATTTTCGAAGGAGCAAGAAGGTAAGTAATAATCTTAGCGAGAGCGAAGCGGCACGAGACACAATGAACGGCGGTCACAAAGACTGGAAAATGGTGGACACTCCGCTCCTTACATAATGCTAGGGGGGAGGGGGAGCGGAGTTCCCGCCAAAAACTGTTAGCTTTTAATCTTCCGGCCAAAGGCACTGCGCAGGCGCAGAACCCATATGTGTGATGCACAGAGGCCACGACGAAGAAGCAGATATCCAACAGGTTACAATGAGGCTCCTAGACATGAAACTGTGAGGAATCACACTGCAGACTACCAGTTGGTTTCCTCTTCCAAGAAGTTTGTATAAGCACGTGAAGGTAAGAACCAGACAAGAGTGTGCTCTACTGACTGAGGGTGGAGAAATCACCTGATAGTTTACAGAGGATGGATGGATGTGAACAAAGCCTTCCTTTTTGGTAACGAACTTCAGCTCCCCAGCTTTTGGCTTCATTTTAACAGCTCCTGTACTGGTCTTCTGATACTTCCCTTCTGGCATTTTCACCTGAAATAGTAAAAAAAAGACTATCAATTCTGGTAATTTTTATAATTTTATAATTATATGACTATAAAAGAATTGTAAAAGTACTCATAAGGAACTCCCCTTCATTTCAACAGAAATGCAGAGAAGAAATGTTTAGCAGATTGTGCCTTTTGCCTTCTTCCAAAACAACGAAGACAAATACTATGCAAAGGTATTTGTCTTTATCCCTGGGAATACTCCAAAGTCTCTAGGGATGTTAGTAGTTGTAGGCCTTTTTCTGTTTAAACACACACAGGATTGTGGCTTACCCTAAGCGCATATCTAAATCATCATGTATTAGAAAGCTGCAGCTGACATACCTGTAGTTTTCAGAGGAACTGTACCATAGTTGGCAGTTAGAAACAGAGCAAGTCAGAAGGGGTCTCCCAGGCCATCTAGTCTGACCCCGCGGCTCCAGCCGGCTCTGCTCATGACTTGCCTATCATGTGCATGTCCAGCCTATACTTGAACACCCTCACCAATGGGGCTTCAACCACCTCCTGTGGAAGCCCATCCCATGCCTTAGGGGTCCTAACTGTCAGGAAGTACTTCCTGGCACCCACCCTGAATCTTGGTTCCCTGAGCTTTACTGTCTGCGTGGCATTCCCTCATGCCAACATAATGATGACAACCCCCTCACGGCAACATATGTCACCAACAGATCCCCTCAGAATCTATTCTTCAGGCTGAAAAGACCCAGTTCCCTCAGTCTTGCCTCATATGGCTTCCCCTGCAATCCGGCCACCATCCTTGTGGCCCTGCACTGCACCGATTCCAACCTGACTATATTACTGTAATGTGGAGTCATATGAGGGCACACCAGAGTTGTACAGAGTGGCAGTAATACCTCTCAGTTTAGAAGCCACGCTTCTGGCTATGCAGCCAAGGGTGGCGTTCACTCTCTTGATCGCTGCATCACACTGCAGACTCATGTTTAGCCTGCAGTCAACCAGTACCCCAAGATCCCTTTCACAAGTGCTGCTCTCCAGCCACTTGTTCCCTAACCTGTACTTATGATGCCCATTCCTATGCCCCAAGTGCAAGACCTTGCACTTATCTGCAAGGTAACACCATCCTTTTGTCCCCTGCCCACTTCCATAGTCTGTCCAGATCGTTCTGGATCTGGAGTACCGGCACCTCAGTTGTGGCCACTGCACCCATTTTAATATCATCTGCGAATTTGATCAGTAGACTGATCATTCCCTCTTCCAGGTCATTCATGAAAAGGCTGAGCAGGATTGGCCCCAGGATAGAGGTGTGGGGACCCCACTCATTTATATTTATATTATTTATTTAAATTTATATCCTGCCTTTTTCCTCAAAGGGCTCAAGGCAGCTTACATCATTCTCCTCCTCCATCTTATCCCCACAACAGCAACCCTGTGAGGTAGGTTGGGCTGAGAGTCTGTGACTGGCCCAGAGTCACCCAGTTGGCTCCATGGCTGAGCGGGGACTCGAACCCGGATTGTCTGAGTCCCATGCTCTTAACCACTACACCAGACTGGCTCTCTTTTTACACCATCACCGGCTGCCATCCTCATGATTCCCCACCAATAGTTACCCTCTGCTTTTGATCTGCCAGCCATGCTCTAATGCATCTGACAGTGCACTGGTTTATTCCCAAACTCCTCAATATGTCAACCAGGATATCATGCGGCACTTTGTCAAAGGCCTTGCTGAAATCCAGATAAACGACATCTACCACATCCCCTGTCTAGCCACCTCGAATCCTTGTCATAGAATTCCACAAGGATCATTTGGCAGGACCTGTTTTTGTGGAAGCCAGGTTGCGTGACCACGAACCTCCCTTCCCTATCTATGGTTACTAGATCTCTCCCTATTATGAGCCTTTCCATCATCTTCCCCAGAATGGACGGAAGGTTAAACTGCCTGTAATTCCCCATGACTCCTCTACAACAATTTTTGAAGACTGGGACCACTGACACCTCCCTCCAGTTCTCTGGAACCTCACCCGTTCTCCCCGAGGCCTCAAAAATGGAAGCCAACAGGCACAAGAGTACCCCCATCAACTTCTGAAGTACCTCAGGTATAACTCATCAGGGCCTGGCACCTTTGTAACATCCAGTGTCCTGAGGAGCTCCTTGATTTCTGGGTGGGAATCTAATCTGTGCCCCTAAATCCCCAGCCTCATCCAGCTTCCCATGGAGATCTCCCCTGTCCTGCTTTGGGGAGAACACAGAGGCAAAATATTCATTTAGCATCTGTGCCTGTTCCCTCACATCAGTCACTGGATCTCCTTCCTCCTTATTTAGTGGTCCCACCACTTGTCTCCCCTTCCTCTTCCTGTTTACATGTTGCTAGAAGCCCTTTTTGCTGCTTCTGATATTCTTTGCAAGCCTCAGCTCGTAATCAGCCTTAGCCTTGTGAAGAATCCTTCTGCAAGGGGCCTCCTCCTCCCGGTATACCCTTTTGTCTACTTGCCCCAGTGCCCATTTCCTGCGGAGGTTCCTCTTTCGTCTAATCCCTCTTACCACCTCTCTTCACATCCATGGCGGTGCTCTCCTTTGCCACCCCACTTCGCTAACTTTGTGACCAAGAGATACATGCCTGAAATGCCAATTCTCAGCTCAGTCGTGAGCTCACCAGACGCCTTCTGAAAAATAAATTGCCCTCAGCCTCAAAGCCTCATTTATATAATGGCCATATGTAGTGTTTTATTTATTTCATTCTATTTCTATTTCGCTCCATAACTTGAAGTATTTTCCCTTAGAGCACACTGTACTTAGTATATATTATTGAAATAACAAATATTAAGCAAGATGTGCACTAAGGGAAAATACTATATGCTCAAAATTTACAAATTTACTCCTTGTCAAACAGGTTTTCCGCCTTGCCCATCAAGCTTGTCTTTCCCTATCGCTACTTTTCTAGCTAGGCTCTGGCCCACTCAGAATCAGGTAGCTACATGTATAGGCAGCTGCCATACACCAAGATAATCACCTTATTCCCTCGGGCAGGAAAATACCATCTCATAGCCAACAGTTTTGCTAATTGCTTCAAAAACCCTGGGAACTCCTGTTGAGGGCTAAGCACAGCAAAGAGACTGGCAGCATTATGTCTGCCCCAGGGCACTGTGCCTCACAGAGCACAGGACTCACGGGGTGTCTGAAGAATAGAGAGCTGGTAAGCAGGCTGAATCACACACAAGATACACACCCTTGAGAGGTGGTAGCTAATCTGACTTGGATGACTGATGATGATATTTCTATACTAGCCACAACTAGCTAAAGCTCTCTGGGCAGAGCACAGCAAATTTGGCATTTATCTTGTCTTTCTTTCTCTTTCAAATATTATCTGCTGACCACATATTCCAGGACAGCATACAGAAATTAACACTATAACAAGCATATGAGGAATATAAGACATTAGCAAGACAGAGCAAATACAATACAGAATGCAGAAGTATTTAAGAATGCTTTGCATGCCCGAGAAAACAAAAAGGTTGGTATCAGGTAATTAGTTTCTCTGAGGAATGCATTCCAAAGTTAGACCCTGTATGAGTTTAATAAGCCTCAGAGCATTCCCAAATAATTTTTATTTCAAAACCACAGTATATCACCCACGTCTCTCCACTTATGCTCTCTACTCGGGACAGTCTCCAGTGCCCCAGAGGAAAGAAGTGCTAAGAGAAAGAGGTTGGGAGAACACTCAGCATGCTGTAATCGAAGACTGGGCTTCACAGCCCAGGCTGAGGCTATTGGTACAGATCCATCCACTTTGATCTCCTCCCAGGCTTCCTTGGAGCAAATGAAATGAAACCTGTTGACTGTTTAGCACATAGGTTCCATCTGGTGTTTCCTTGCAAGCTCCTATTTGTTCCATTAATAGCTTTTTAGCTGCTCTGTGGTTGCTTTTTTGGCCACTGCTGGTAGAATATTTCCAGAGAGAGGGTTGCCTGGCCAATATCACATGGCCAAATTAAAACTAATGAGCTGCTGTCAAGAGGCAGGTGCAATATGAGCACTCATGAACGACTTTTTACCTGAACTACGTTGGGATAGAGAGCAGCACATAACATGGCGGATATCAACTTTACATTCTCTGCGTTGGCATTTGCCTGCAAAAGAAACAAAATGCTACAGGTTAGAGTATGTGCACTGGAATTGGCACAGATGAGGGCAAGTATAGGATCCCAAGAATCCAACTGATGCATGTATTTGAAAAGAAGTTTCTAGCCCTTATGATTACTAAGATACATTTACAGTTTGGTGCCTGTAAATGTTTCAGAATGAGGGGTTATGAACTCTGGGCCCTACAGGGCAGTATCATGCTCTCTGGACCTCTGTATGAAGCATCTGTAATACCATCAGATAAAGTAACAGAAGTGGCTTTCCTGGATCCTTAAGATAAGGTATGTTTTGAGAAGATGTATGCATAAGAAAGGCAGGGAGTCAGGGAACTAATTCTTTTGTCACAAACACCCTGTAACATTCCATAGAACTCTGGACTGTTTCTATATGTATGTTGCTAACAATAATTTATTTTGATTTAGATATCTTGATTTATGATACAAACATAGCCTTAGAAATCTGGACAAAAATTGGTGAAAACAACCCAAGCATGTTCAATTGTCTCAACAGAGAATATAAAGGGGATTCTGAACACTGGGCTTTGGAATCTCTCAAGGACTTGTAGAATGAGCTTTGCAAGCTTCTTACTGACTCTGAAACAGATACTGTTATTGTTCTGCTGAGAAGACTTGACCTTAGCGGATGTTGAGTGTGGAAGGTGTATGAATCTATGCACGTATCAGCCTTGTGTTGAGTGTTGTTATGCTGATATTTTACAGTAAAAAAAGTAGACCTTGTCTGAGAAAGATTTTTGGAAACAGGAACTCTAGATACCTAGAGTGAAAAGCTTAGCTCTCACTAAGATGGCATCTGGTTTTGGAAGGAATCGAATTATGTTTAGTCATGCAGATAATCCAGGGTCGTCTACATACTAGTAACATAAATTGAGAGAGTCTCTGAACCAGGACACATGTCACAAGGGTACTAAAGTTATTTAATTAGTTTGAAAGAAAAATATTTTTACCCATTCCTCAAGTAGGGCATTCAAAATCACTGGGGAAAATACACAGGAAGCTGCCTTATTGGCCTGTCTAGCCTTGCTGTTGCTGGCAGAGGCTCTCCTGGAGTTCTTGGGGGAATTTTCCAAGCCTAGCATTGAATCTGAGACTTTCCGCATGCAAACCATGTACTCTGCCACTGGGCTGCAGCCCTCTCCAAAGGCTCTAGCTATCCTTAGAGTCCATTAGAACTTGCCAGATGGATAGAATAGAATGTGTCAGCAGTTTGTGAGTGAGGAAAATAGGAATGTCATTACTTTAACAGCTGAATAATGAAGCACAGGGTGATAGGCAGAGCACTAGAATGAAGCTAATAATTGGAAAAGAAGAGGCCAGCTCCTTCCCTGTTGCAGCTCCTGTTACCTCTTCCCCGGTAGCTTCAAGAACACCATCTCCTCGTTGCAACCACCTCCTCTCGATATCCCTGGCTCGGAGTCCTTCTTTCACAAATCCAATATCAGACAACAGTTCTGTAAACTGCCTTTTCAAACTGGCCATTTCCTATGAATTGAGGAGGGAGAAGAGAGAAAACAGGACAGAAGTGACATTATTGAAGGATGAAATATGTTTTCAAAGACTATTACTGTGCTGCATCCAGTATTATCCTAATTTGTTCCCATTTTACATACACCAGTGTGACACCATTGATGGACCGGCCATATCTGAATGGTGCAGCACTGATGCACAGCTGGGGAAAGAGAGGCTAGGCTACAAGGGGAAGACACACATCAATCTCTGGTGCAGAAGCATAGATCAATTTGTAGAAATAAGGCTGGAAGAAACATGTACATGGTGTCTGGGCTCCCGGTATGTCAGTTCCCCACCACTTATCCATACATGGCAGAGTAGTGACCTTCTAGCTGTGTTCCCCAAAGCTTATTAAGGCTACCTCACTGGGAAGATCAGCACTTGCAATCAGTGACAACGGGAATCTGGTAGGGCTGACAGCCTCATGGCACCTACTGACCTTTCCCAGCAATATGCAACCATGATGGGAGTCTTTCTAGAGCATAGTCACACTGTATACAAGGCAGTGATGCAGTTCTAAAGGCCTGGCTGGTGTGCCCTGTGAGCCAAACATGTGCCCTAGAGCAGTAGTGGCCAGACCTCAGGCTCATGGGATTTACCACTACCAAGACTACTGGTACTTAAAAAAAACCCAGAACCCTGAGTTCCATCAACTAGAACCGGGTGCAAAATGGTGGCTTGGGTGATTCTCTGTTCACATCTCAGTCCTGGCCAATCTGATAGGGTCACACCTGAATGCAGGAGTTCCCCTGATACCACAGAATAAAGGTGGGGCTGTGCCTCCAGTATACCACTGGACACCCAGAATGAAGACCCATTCTGTTGTCATGTAAGTCTGGAAGCCCAGCTTTATCACGGTTCAGAATAGGCTAAGGCAAAACGCAATCCTTTCAAACGCAATCTGAGGTTTGGTTGCATACTTAAAAGTAGCCAAGGAATAGTCCTAAAGTTGCTTGATCACATGCGTGACACTGCATGCTTTGATCCAAGTAGAACACAGGGAACAGGCTGAAGCTGGGACTCAGCTGACAGTTCTCCTCTCAAGGTAACAACCCATAGCTGCAGGGTCACAGAAACATGGCGACAAAAGTAGGAAAGGAGCACAGCTAGCAGCACACCTCACACAGCTGTCAGAGGCATCTTCATGTTGGTCTTACCCTGTGTTCAGTTCTCCCCTTTTGCATCACTGGCCGGCTCAAGGCTAAAGCACAGGGATTTTTTAGGGATTGCACTTTGCTGTTCATTTACCAGTGATGTGGCAGCATGAAATGGGATACAATCATAAATGTAAACAAACAGGTGCTGAATACATTTTGTATGTATATTCTTCTCCAATGAAATAAAGTTCAACCTATGATTACTGTGTGCTGTGTAAAAGAGGAAAAAGAAGTAGCACAGCAGACAGAAGGTAGAACAAAAGTATTCAGCAACAGGGTCAAGACTTTTTAAAATCAAAAAACTAAATTAACATTTCAAATCAAAATTAAATAAGAAGGTTAACTTACCTGGAGCACATTTTCTGATAAAAAATTCTCTCTGCAAAATCTGTGGCTTGCTTGAACACTCTCTTTTGAAGAGAGGCGCCATCCCTAAATAGTGGACATTTAAAATGTTATACTGTCATCTCTTATCACTAAGGATCTCTCTCCCTCTCTCTCACACTCACACACACACACACACACACACGTGTGCACACGCACATGCACACACTGCTTTGGAGATGAACCACAAGGCAGGTTTTTATTTCTCACCTTATATGCTTGAAGAAGAGCGAGATAATCACTGTTTCCTATTGCAAATTCCAGCTTTTTCGCAAATGCCTCCTCTCTTTTGTCCCATGGAGAAACCTATGCAATAAATCCCCCCCAAACACACATATCATCACACAGAAGTCTTATTTAAAATTAAACATAGTCTATCAGATTATACAGTGCACCCTGCAAATAGGCCTTCAAGGTAAGCTACACTGAGAGAGGGCAAAGCTTGCCTGAGGTCTGGTCACTGACTCTGGATCTGATCAAGTCTCCCTGATGCATGTCTAGACCACTGGCTCTGTTAGCCAGTAACAATGAAACTCCACTCAGGGGCTTAATGCATCCTCTGTGTGTCGTATTCTTTATGGTCATGGTTGCTAGTAGAGATAGCTTTATTAAAAAATCAGTCCGATTCCTGAGGGAACTTCCATGTTGTCAGGTATCTTCTTACTAGGTGTTGGCAATACACTCAAATGGAAGGCTATGATGTTGTAGCGGGAGTTTCCCAGAAGCATTTGACTGGAAAACATTGGCGATGCAGGATGAACGAGACAGCCTTTCAGTGTCTGACACAGCAAGGTGATTCTTGTTCTCTTTTCTTAGGGATAGAAAACAAACCAAATTTCAGGAAAAGATAGGATTCCTGCTTTTTGAGACTGGAGGCAGATTAGAGGGGTTTGTTTTCCAGAAAGCTGAATTTTGAAAGAAAGGCAGTATACTCAGTGCACCTATTGTCCCACTTTCACCTCTAGCTTAGCTAGGTTTGTTTTATTTCAAGAAAACCCTGCAAAACCTAGATGACCAGAGGGGACAAGGGAAAACATAGCATATGCACACACCAGCTTTCAAAAAACATTCAACTGGCATTACAATTGCCTCCTGGCTTAATTGTTCTAGTAGGTAAACTTATTGAAAAAGTTTGGGAATCATAGGTAAGCTAGACAGCTTACATCGGCCTTCCTCAACCTGCTGCCATCCAGGTGCGCAGGACTAGAACTCCCATCACCCCCAGCCAGCACAACTGCTGGTCTTGTTGGCTGGGGAGGATGGAAGGCATAGTTTGACACATCCAAGTGGCACCAGGTCTGAGAGAGTTGGATTACAGCGACAGTACTTACAAAAGGTGACTTGTAGGCCCTGCTTGCTGCAATTGTCAGCGCAGGGTCTAAGCAGCGAAAGATGGTGCCGAACAGCATGAGCTTCCCAATCCTTACATCAACAGGCAGGGAAGCCAAGTGATACCCCAGGGGTGTGAGCTTTTCATCTGAACTTAAGGCCCCCACATCCTGCAGCCGCAGCTTTGATGCACGAAGAGATTCGGTTGTTGGTGGCTCAATCAATCGAGATAAAACCGAAAGCAGGCTATGTGCAGAGAACATTTCCAAAATCTTAATTCTGGAAGAAAGGGAAAAATATTCTGGCTAAACTTTACCAAGACCCCTTTTTCATGTCATGTCTTCTGGATATCATGAACAAAAGGGGAAAAAATCTCAGGTGCCTGGAAAAAAATGTTCCTTTTGCTCAAAATAAACATTATTTCCAGACCCTGAGAATTTCTTCTCTCTCTCTTGTTTTCATGATGCACAAGCGCCTTCCTCTCTATTGTTTACTGAAGTTTTCTAGATATCCAACAACAGGATCTGAGCAATGCATGAAGTCAATATTGAATAAAATACAGGAAGATGGATTTTGGGGTAGATTGTAACTTCATGTCAGAATTTGAATACAGGAACTCTATTTAAAAGAATTATCCAATAATTTGATCACAGAACTAAGGGTGTCTAGATTTATGCCATGTCTGTGGGCAATTTCTGACATTCATGACCCAGTAATGAATGTAGCAGCACTGAAGTTCAGGCTGTGGGACTGCATATGTTGGTCACTGCACAGATCAGAAGTTGAGCCAAGCATCCGTGCCTTCCCTCTCCAAAAAGGTGGAAGGGGGAGGGAAAGTACCTTAGATCAGGTTAGATGATTTTCTTTTTAGTCTGGTATTGTCTACTGCGTCTAGCAGGAGCTCTCCAGGCCCGCAGGTAGGGGGAAATATTTTCCATCTTTTGTGACTTCAGGATCTCCAAGATTTTCTGGTCATTTGGCACATTTGAAATGTTGAGAGACTATCGTGAATGCTCTCATAAAATGGGGGTGGGTGGGCAGACTTCCCCATTCATAAATTGGCTGCCCTGCCAGGTATGGCTGGTTGCAAAACAGAAGACAAACCAAGGGTCCAAGTTTCAAAATATTTGAAACCAAATAAATATGTGAGGGCAGTGCTTCACTTTGCAGCGTATCAGAACTTTAAAATAAGGAGAGAGGAGGAGGCTGGGGGCACCACACTGAAGTCCCCAGTGCTCTTGATGCTGCTATGTGAAAGTGCCAGGGGCAGAAATGGGAATTTTCTGTCTGCAAAGAACTGAGCCATGGCACTTCCTAAGAGCAAAATTCTAGCTGGAGCATTACTTATTCATTTCTTTATTACATTTTTATACCACTCAATAGCTGAAGGTCTCTGGATGGTTCACAGCAAATTTTTAAACATTAAAAACATAAAATCCAGTATAAATATTTAAATGGTTAAAACTATGGTATAACATGGAAGTAAAACTAGAGTAAGGTCCAACAACATGGGCTAGGACTAAGAACCATCAAGTCTATGGCATTCCTCCTTGTTTTAGTGAGCTGCTCAGGTCATGCATTTAATCAAGCAGCAGAGCTTCAAAGCAAAACTGTTTGGTGGAAGTAAGGATTAGAAGAGAAGAAGGAGGGAGCAGAACTTTGCAAAGGAAACACAAACACAAAAATAGAATTTTTAGAGCAGGTCAACAAGATGTGTACAGGTTTGATGAAATTGGTTGGAAGAATGATTTACCTGAGACAGAGCTGTTCCAAAGGCACTCTTTGTATTTCAGGTAACTGCTGCTTTAAAAGGTGGTGATGGTAATGATGGCTAGTGAACAAGTGGAAGCAAACCCCAGAAGCTACACGTCCAGCTCGTCCTTTCCTTTGTAAGGCATTGGCTTTGGACACAAACGTATCCTCCAGGCTTTCCATGCCTTTGCTTGGATCATATCTACACAGAGGGAATAGAAAACAGTTTTTGGAATATCGAGAAACATCTTTGTGAACCTAGGAAGTAGAAAGATTGGGATACTGGAAATTCATTAAAGTCTATTCACTGGAATGATCTACTGGACATAGTTACCCGAGACTAGTCAACATTATTATTAATTTCATTTCCATATTACTCCAATAGCTGAGGCAGTCTGGGAAGTTGATAGAAGTCCATAAAAGCTATAATAAAATTCCACAAAATCTTTCCAAAATGCAAAAATTTAAAACAGCTGAAACAACATATGATGACAAGCAGCCCTAGAAAATACTTGGCATAGGTAATCTCTTCAATATCCATGTATATCATTAAAAGCCTGGGCATGAAGGGCTGTCTTAACCTGGTGCTGAAAAGACAACCATGTTGGCACCTGACTGATCTCAGTGGGGGAGGTCATTCCATAGAGGGGGGCACCAGTGAGAAAGACCTTCCCCTTGTTGCTGCCCTTAGCCTCCCTCAGAGGTGGCACCTGGAGGAAGGCCTTGGAAATTAAGCATAACGCAGAGGTGGACTGTAGCTGAGACAGGCTCTCCATCAAATGCTGTGGTCCCAAGCCATGGGAGGCTGTTTAAGTTAAAACCAGAACCCTGAATTGGGTTTGGAAGCAAACAGGCAGCCAATGCAAGTGAGCCAGAACTAGTTTTATGTGTTTAGACTTATGGATCCCAAATATTAATCCAGCTGTTACATTTTGTGCAAACAACAACTTCTGAACATTCTTTACGAGCAGCCCCTGTGCATTTCAGTAATCTAATTTAGAGATTACCAGAGCATAGATTTCTCAAGCCCAGCTATCCCTACCTAGATAGGAGCATGGAAGCTGGTAAAAGGTACTCCAAGCCACTGAGGCCACCTGAGAATCAAGTGACAAAGATGGCTCAAGGAGGACCCCAAGTTATGAACTGCTCCTTCACATGAGTGCAACCCCATCTAAACAGGTTGAACACTCTCTGTCCATTCAAAGGGAGATCCACTGAAGCATCTCAGTCTTATCAGGTTTGAGCTTCACTTTATTAGTCCTCCTCTGCTCTACTGCTGCAGCCAGACACCAGTTTAGCACCAATACAACTTACAACCAATACCTGCTAACAATCAAACGGAGAAACAGAGCTCTTAGTCTTCAGCATATTGATAGCAACATCCTTCAAAACTCCAGACAATTCCACTCAGCAGGTTCATGTAGATGTTAAATAGCCTGGAGGTCAAGACAGACCCCTGAGAAACTCCATACTGGAGAATCCATGGAGTTGAACGATATTCCCCAAATGCCACCTTCTGGATCTGACCTTCCAAGGAGGAATGGAATCACTACAACATAGCACCCCCCTCTTCCAACCCAGACAGCCACCCCAACAGGCTGATGGCATCAAAAGCCACCGAAAGATCCACGTGCATCAACAGGGTCCTACTACCCCTGTCTCATTCCCTGAAAAGGTCGTTGTACGGGGTGATCAAGGCTGTTTCTGAGCTTCCTGTGCTGTATGGCACAGTGCACATTGTTTTGCATTATTTATCCTTATTCTCAATGATTTTTTTTAAATGTAGCACAACACTGGGCTGTATCCAACCATGACAGTCTGGTAGCAGAACTGAAACAAAGGGTGGTATGGTTTACTCTTACTTGCTGGCTTGAGAACCTGTATGGAGGTTAGAGTGTGGGACTGGGAAACTGGGAGAGCAAGGTTCAAATCCCTGCTCACCAGGTAACGTTGGCCCAATCCCTACTGCCAGCCCCCTGCAATACCTTGTAAGCCTGCTCCAGAGCATTGGGGAACCCTCCAGAGTAGATCTGGAAGGCATGCAGAGAGCTGCAGGAGAAAGAAGAGCAAGGGGAATTTTCCTCATGTAATCCTGGATTTAAGATACTGCCTGAAGATCTATGGTCTGAAGCTGCAGGCTGCAAAGCTTCAGGAAACACAAAAAATAAAACTCAGTTAAAAATGTATGCAAGCTTCCTTTTTAAAATTTGGACAAATAGGCAGAAAAAAGTACATTTATGGAAGAGAGAAGAGCAAAAAGTTTAGGTTTTGTAGGAAGAAGGAATAACTATTGTAACCAGCTGGGAAAAGAAAATTCTAGTCCCGTGGAAAACTGAAAGCAGATGGGGCAAGAAAAAGGAGGACTTCTTTGAATCAAGGAAGCACACCACACTTTGGGCTTCCCGTGGCCTGTGTCACTGAGCTCTCAACACTAGATCACCATTACAATTACTCTCTCTGAGTCTTACACAGAGAATTTAGACAGAGGGAAATATTTGTGCCACTGCAGACCTACTGAGGCAACACTTGCTGCTAGAGTCTCTACCCATGGTAAGATTGGAAGCTGGTCTTGGGCTCTCATACCTTCTCTTGCTATCCCTCACTGTACACAGAATGTTATGGAAGATACTCTGGAGTATAGTGTGAATACTTTGAGTATTGTTCAAAAAGTCCATATTCATACAGCACACACAGGTTCTGATTATTTCTCCCTACTGCCAGCCTCCCAATTCATCCAAGTACCTCTTTTCTTTCATCTTCCCTGAATCAATCACATATGCCACATCATCAATGGTAACAGAGGTTTCTGCGATGTTTGTAGATATGATGATCTTGGTAACCCCTGTGGGAGGCTTAAGGAACACAGACTGCTGTTCCTCACTGGAAAGTGAGGAATGGAGCGGATAAACAATACATCTAGAAGGAAGAGATCAGAGAACAAGTTTAGGGTATTTTGCGAGCGTTTTTTTCATTTCCACATCACTTCTTTCTCATGGTAACCAGAGTCAGGTAGTTCCAGTTCCACTCTGGAGTGCATGACTGTTCATTCACACTGAAAAGGGCCACATTAGGCATTGCAGTAGGGACATTAACCACCTACACATTAGCAGAATCCACTGTCAGGCATGCAATACTCTGGAAATAATGACTCAGGTGCACTCCTGGAGGAAACTCCAGCCTTTTCCATCAGAACCAGAACTGCATGCATGCACTCCAGCCCATATATAAGCTGGATATATACTCCCCCAGCTTCCCAGGAACCAAAGAAACCTGAAAGGAAGCAGTGTGCATACATAACATGACTTCCGCATCCTTTAGTTTCTGGCTTAATAAGAGCTGGCAAATATGATTGGCCAGTGTAGTTTGCATTTTCCTTGAAAGTATAGAAAGAACTAACTATGGAAACCGCTTGTGAGACCCAGGCGATGGACACTTCAGGTAGCTGAAATCTACGATGAGAGTCCCAATTTCCAAAGGGGGTATGACAAGCCAGTACCTTTTTAATTTGGATGGCACCCTATGGCAGTAAGAGCAAGTATTGTTTCAGGTTTCCAAAGTCTAATGTAGTCTCACTTACTATACATTTTGATTTACAGAATGGCATGCCAACTTTCAGAAGGATATCACTGTGGGCTTCTTCCTTTCAGGTATATTATGTACTGACACAATCCTTGTTTAATGAACACATGATTTTATTAGCTACATGAAATGCTTCGAACTGGGGGTCAGTGGTATGTGAGAGTGCACATACTTTCTGGTGTATATCACTATTCAGCAAAGCAACAATGGTATTTCAGTGAAAGAGGCAGAAAACGATTGTACCATTTTCAAAATATCAGTGTATTAATTCAGACTCCAGTTGTAATTTCAAATCAAGGCTTGGCATTACATGAAGAAGCACTGCACTTGGGCACTTCTGCTCATATATATTTAAAGTTAATGAAAAAGTATATTCTTGACTTACTGTTTGTTGTGTCGGTTGTTGAAAAGTGCATTTGACTGCAATTGTTTGTACAGAGTTTTAATTTCTGCCATGCCTGGCAAAAATATCAGTACTGCACCTAGGACAATTTAAAAAGGTGAAATTAATAGAAAAATAGTTATTTAGCACTCAAAACTATTTTTCCTCCACTGTAGTATCTGTGCAGGTACTGCATGGCCATTTTAGTCATTGAGTCACCTCTGCAGCCTTACATGATGCATTCTTCCTGCACGGAAAGCACTTGGGAAAAAGATGCAAAATGTATGCATTGTCCAAAATGCCAGTCACATACATACGGCATGTACCTGATGGCCACATGGACCTATGACCTGACTGGAATCTATCCAACATGCCCTTGGTCTGCTAGTTCCCATTTTGTGAAACTCCCTACCTCTGGAAGTTAGGGAAGAACCAACATTTTGCTGTGTTTGATGCCTACTGATAACAATTTCATTTTAAGAAACCTTCCTTGATTGATCAAGCCTGTATTTTACTGGTATTCTGTTGTTTTTAAAAAACAGACAAATTGTTAATTTTGAGTTTTATTCTTGTCTTTTATGGTTCACTGCCCTGGAATCTGTTTAGATGTATAACAGTATACAAAAGTTGTAATAACGGATTAAATAATACTTGTCTGTTTTGCTCCATGTACACACAATGCTGTCTACCTACAAGTTGTACAAAGTACTTTCTGTCTAGGCTAATCCAACCTATCAAGCATTTTGGGTTCCATTTTTTTCTTTGCATGCAGGGCTCCTGTGCCTCTAACAGAAACTCAGCAGAGGAGGTTTTCCTATCACAGAGATTTAGCAAGGCAAAAATGTCACTTCTCAGCTCTGTCTGTTAAACAGATGCCCTGGATACAGACAAAGCTCCACATCAAGATGTGGAATACTGGGAATATGCCCTATGCTTGTGTGCTCTCCAATTCCACTCCCTCATCCCCTTGCGATCAATGCTTAATATAGTGCTTCCTCCCTGGCCAAAAACACAGCTTGTCATTGCATCTTAATGTGTTACATTGGAGATAATTAAACCATGGTTTGCCAACAAACTCACAGTACAAATCAGATTCAGACCCTGGTTTCTGGCAAACTTACAATTTCATCAACCAAGAAAGTGGGGAGTGTGGCTAAGAAGAGAGAAGAGATCTATATTCACACCGGGCTCATTCTTGATCCTCCAACTTATTACCTGAATTCAGGCCCTCTCAGAAAAAGGCAGAGAAGGAGCAAAAAGAATAAATCTACAATTCCTACAAAATTCTACAAATCTACTCTTTCTTTGGGGTGATGAGTTCATGACTAAGCCAAGAAATATTTAAACCTGCATGCTCTTATTAGCAAGATTCTTTAATTGTCTCACATCATCATTCTAAATGAACCATTTCATGAAAGCCGTATTTTGCTTTGAAGCTGTTTGCAAAAAGCCTAACCAGAGTAGAATTCCAAAAGACTATCATCTGTCTGGGCACAGCCAACTCAACTGAACAGACTTGTGAAAGAGGTCACAGTTCCCCATTGCTTTACCTGGTGGATATGAATGTTTGCCACTGACAATCCACTCCAGTAAGGCCTCAATTAATTCAAGATTAACTTTGTCTAAGTCCATGGTTGCCATTGTTTTTAATACTGATTTGCTAATTCCTGAAAAAGAAAATGAACATAAACACAGAAGGAAAAAGTCAATTTGTCTAATAAAGAAGCACAAAATACAGTTATTTCCAAATTCATCAAGCCTTTGAAAAGGCCAATGGTGGCACCTTCTTTTCCAGAAAGGACAGATTCTCTTCAGCTAATTGTTCTTAATCTACTCCATATCAGCATCACTATGTTAGAAAAAGCAGGACTTCTTGTTACATTCACCTAGTGAAAAGCAGTCCATATCTGCCAGTTCAGAAATTTAATGGTTCCCTCCCTAACAACAATAAGCACTGAAGGGACTTGAAGTCATACTTCTGCCCGTTTATTTATTTAATTTCTATACTGCCTGTCAGTCAAGATGACTTTCTGAGTGATTTATATAATCAAAACACACAAATAAAAAACCCCACATATTCGCCAGTTATCTCTGAGCAAGGAAGATTAGCTATTGGAGTTTATTTTTGGGGGAGGGGGTTGGAATCAAACATTAAGAACCCTTTCAGAGACACACTCTTGTCTTTCAACAGCTCTTTGCTCTTCCACAAGCCCTGCATTTCATACGACAAGCATCCTGCACGTCCGTGCTGATCCCAAATTTAGAAAGCCACACCAACAGTTACCTTGAGTCACACTGTACCACAGTTACCCTGAGTCTACCCAAAATGTAGGCAAAGTACACTTGTAGATGCCCCAGCTTTTCCTTTTCTTGCACCAACCTTCTTATTCACTTATCCCTTTATTTCCCAACTTCCTTCATGCCATGCCTTCTCCTGATCCACCAAGGTGACTACACATTTTTTGAATGTAAACATTTGCTGTGACTTTTTGTTTATTGAGATATAGCAAAAGATTTGCTGCAGGGTGGAGACATGTCACAACCATTCCCCCACAATGGAAAATATTTAACCGTGAGTCAGTACCTCAAGTTGTATACCTGAAATACACAACCACAACACTCAAGTAAAGGGTCAGCATGCACACCAAAAAGAGTCAGAGGGGCTAGGACAATCTGTCTGCCATAGAACAGAAAGGGAAGCCCCAGCACATACAAGCCTCTAGACTGGTTTTCCTCAACCTGGTGCTTTCTAGCACTACCGGACAGCAACTCCCATGATTCCCAGACAGTATGGCTGCCCTAAGCTACAATCTTCCTACAACTCTATATGCATTTGTGTATGGCACACACGTGCAAACAATTAAGATTTGAAAACATCTTTCTAGTCAAAAAACCCATATTTCTAACTGAAAAAGAAATCCTTAAGAATAAATGGCTCCAACAAATATGCAAGAAAGATTACCTTTGTAGCGTGTCAGCAGCTGCTGAAATGTCAGTTGCTGGTCCGGGACTGAATCCTTGACCATCACCGTACTCTGCACAAGCCCAGCACGCTTTAGGTCCTCCTCTACTTCCTCTGCAGCAGTCCTCAAGTGTCTTCCTTTCTTGCCTGCAATGTGTTTCACAGTGCGCATGTACGGACTACCATGCTCGATGACATAGCTGAAGACAAGCAGAGGAATAAGGCCTGACTAGACAGCAAAAGAAGAAGGGGATGGCAGAGGATGAGGTGGCTAGATGGAGTTACTGCAGCAGTCGGTGTGAGCCTAAGTGGACTCTGGGGGATGGTGGAGGATAGGAAGGCCTGGAGGAATGTTGTCCATGGGGTCGCGATGGGTCGGACACGACTTCGCGACTAACAGCAACAACAAAAGCAATCTGCAGCTTGTGCTGTTTAAAATAGGCAGCCCCTTCAAGCAGAAGTTTAGACCTTATGGATTGTGTTGACATACTTAATGACCTGGTTTCCTGTGGCACATGCCAGGTACTGCTTGCCTAATCACCTACCTGGGAACAGCATGCCATGATGTTTGAGTAAGCCAACAACCTCTGAGTAAGCCAACAACAGGGTATAAGTTATCTGAGGGTTCCTCTCCTCCATACAAGTCATGACACCTGGGCTTTGACAACATGGCAAGCTGCATCTAGGCAGATAATTTGGCAAAACTGTTCAGCATTTGCAACCATGTGCTGCAGTTTAAACAAGCCAAGGCAAACCAATGGTGCAAACCCAAACCAACTGCTTCAAAGCACTTTAGGACAGACTCAGTGGCTGCACAATACCTTCTGCCTAGCAATACAGGGAACCCATGTGGAAACAAGCTATGAACTACCAAGTCAACAACTCCAGTTTTCCATTCTTTTCTCTCACACTGTTTCCACCCTCCCATGCCCTTTGCTACTCAAGCTAAAAAGAGAGAGAGAGAGAGAGAGATGTTCTTAACAGAGTATGTAAGTACTGTCTTTTCTTCATACTCTCAGCACAGCAGTGAGTTCATAAAGCTATAAACTATATAAAAAGTAACCAGGTACATAAATAAATGTACAGATTTCTACCCACTCTTTATATGAATGATTCTGCACATTATCCTGATTTTAAGCTCTATTTTGAACAATATAGTAATTCTGAATGTTAATTTAACTATTGGCAGAGGATATTGGAGGCTTCCACAGCCAGGAGCCGTGCTGCAAATTGTATTCAAAATATTGGGAGCACCAGGTTGGAGAAAACTAAATTATAAGATAAGGGCATTATTCTATAATCTCTTGAGGTCCTCAAACAAGTAGCCTCTCAAAAGAATAATAATTCAAATCTGAATACATCGTTAAACAGTCCAGATTTATGTAAAAGTCATGCTAGACATCTGAAGTAATTTCTGAGATTCCTTACTGAGTCATAGCAATTGCATCTTCTAGAAAAAACTGGTCGACAGGAAATGTTCTACCTAAGAAAGATGTAAACAGAGAGGTAAAAGGAGAGGTAAACCATAATAAGAGAAAAGACAAACAACTGCATTATCAACAGAGCAAAAGAAGTAATCTTCCATGTTCCTTATCCATGGATTGCTATCTTCAGCTTAGAATAAGTGTTATGGTTTGACTTATCTCATAGGGAGGTTCAGGCAGCCACACCATAATAAATAGCAAGGCTGCTCTCTCAGGAGGCAGGTTTGGAACACCACCACCACGTGATGGTAAATAGATAAACACGATATATTTATCTTTGAGACACAATCCATTGCTCAGTGTCCAATCATTTCAAAGAGCTTTGAAACTTTACTGAGAATTGTATTTCATGTTAACATGCGTGTGTACGTGCACACACATGTGTGGGCATGTGAGCATGATTTTCCATCTTCACCAATGCTTGAGGTATGTGGAGGTAGCTTAAATTTCTTTGTCATATGGGGAGATAACAATACTGACTAATCTCAAATTGTTCTAGAAGCATTGCAAATAGATAATTCATATAAAGTTCTTTGAACACTCAGAAGCTCTAAACAAGCATTCACCACTATTCATATATCACTTCCCATTTTAATTGTCCCAAAGCACTTAGTCTTTAAGATGCCAGAAGATGGGGATTTTATTGATAAAGCTGCTTTCAGTTTCATGTTTACTTTTTATAAAGTACTTTTTATATCGCTATTTTACTTGAAACGGCTTGTTAAAGAATGAGACAACTTTACAGTAGACAGGGAAACCATCAGCTATGAGTGATAGAGAAACTAAAAAATACAAAAATCATGTCACCAGTAGACACTGGCACCTTAAAGAACAGGGTATTGCCACTGGCATCTGGGCAACTACAAATGTCAGGAAGTTCTCTTTCATTCCGGCACCTAGAAAAATCTTGCAGTCTCCTATGGGTTACAAACAAATCAAGCAGAAATAAAAACAAATAAATGTTTTTGGAAACAAATACAGGAAGGGATGCTGCCTCAATTTCCCACTTGTGAACTTCCAAATGGTAGCTTGAGCAGCTGAATCAGACGGTGTGTGACCTGAATCAACAAGAGTGCTACTGTGTTCTTGAAAGTTTGTACATTCTCGTATATCTGATGGAAGGAACGATCCTACATCCTCAGACATTGTCTGAGGGGCCATAGTACTGTTTGGGGGTCAGAGACCGTGCTCCAGTCTCAGAGCTGAGAATCAGTGCTCTCCCATGGGCCCTTGCAGCAAGTGCAGAAAGGACTGTGCTGGCTGCTCCCTGAATGCAGGAAAATGACCTCAAGAGGCATTAAAGAGGATGGGGAGGAAGGTGAGGAATGAAGGAGACAAGGCATCCTAAAGCTGCTCCAGCTTTCTTCTCTCTCCCCCATGAAATGCTGTTGCTAGATGGCTGGAATTATAGATCTGTTCAGAGCAGAATGAGTGGGAAGGCCAAAATCATCTTCACTATTCCTTCTGTCCTGCATTAGATGCCTGTAAACCTCCAGTGGGTTTCCCCATCAGACTGCATCCATAGTTACCTTTCTTCAGATCAGCTTAAGTAACTACTAGCAGCAGAATGCAATGTCAGAAAATCAGCATCAACCAAGTAAGAGCTGTTACAACTCAAAACAAATGTGTTAGAAGCCACAAGAAATTTAACACAAGAGATTAATAATAAAAATCAATAAGAATGTTTTTCACCTGGTATGTTAACAATAGGACAGGAATTAAAATATTGAGAAAAGAGTTCTGCATTCAGGGTAGCACTCATTAATATAACACGCAGATCCGGGTTCTGCAACATTATATCCTTCAAAACCAGCAGCAAGAAGTCACTGGAGAGAACAAGCAGAAAACATTTGAAATTCTTTAATTAGTTTGCTTCCCTCTCTCTGGTCATTATTTTCTGCTCATTTTCCCTCGCTCTATAGTGTCACAACTGATGATGTCCAACAACTTTTATCAACATTCAACATCCCCTTCTGGAATATTTCTGAGTCTTCTATATTCAGGGCTTTGGACAAGAGCTTGCACTGAATAATTAGAGATAAGAAATTGCAGTAGAATATGGAATACACATGAGGAATTTGCTTATTATTGTCTTTAAAGATGAAGAGTAGGGTCAGAAGCAGATTCTAGTCCTTAGAGCTGAAAAAGCAAATTTGAGAGTGTACAGGAATATTCTGAAAGTCAGTACAAAAAAATGCCACATACATGGGAGGAAATCTGCCTGGTAGGTAATTAAATCTGCCTGGAATAAAATTACTAAATCCTCACCAAGAGGCAGTGTTTATCCATTAAAAAAAGAAGACAGAAAAAGAGCCATCAGAAGAGGATGTAGCCTCTGTGCTTCCCTCCCAGCCTGTTGTTTCATGACTTTACTCATTCACTCACTTACTCTGCTTGGTATATGAACTTGCTACAGCAGACAGAAGAGGAGGGAAAGCAAGAGACAGGAGTTTATACAGCATTTACTGTATAAATGCGTAGGTTTGGGTTTTTTTTTTTTTTTAAGATATCCAAGTTGAAATCTCAGTAGTCATAACCTGGGACTTTTGCACCCTTTAGTTATTGTTGCACACATTTCAAAAGACAAATCTAAACTGCGCATCTGCAGTGCAGGCATAACAAATACTGAGCTATCATTCAAAGCAAGAATTACAAGATAGTGGCCACATTTGTGTGGAACAAGGCAAGGGCATTTCATGTAAAAACCTCCGTGAGCCATGGGCACCTGTATGCCCAAGCACACAGGCAAGAGGCAAAATACACTGTGTTTCAGTTTCCCCAATACCTGACTTGTCATTATGTATGATTCAAACTCTGTTCAACTGCTAAGCAACTAATTGCTTGTTGGCATATTTAATAACTCGGGTTTGATTTAAATTGTGATTCCTGGTTTGTGTAGAATCATAAGCTAGGTATTGAAGTAAGTGAAATGGAATGACGGTTTATTCTTCCTCCCTAGCAGGTGAGAGGAGAAAAGAGGGTCAAATACACAAGCTTAAAGCTTTGAGCAGGCTCACACAGGCTTGTGCATACAAAGCTAAATCCTGGCTTAGCACGATTTGTGAACCAGGCCAGTGTATATGATTAGACAAACAGACAGCATTCTTATAAGTAGTGGGGTTCAGTGCTTAGAGTTGCAGACTAGGAAGACTCAAGTTCAAGTCATCCCTAAACCACAAAACTTACTGCATATCTTGGACCAATTCCTCCCTCAGCCTAATGGCAGGAAAAAAAGGACAACAAAAAATGCAAGTGAAAATAAAGAACTGAATTACCTTTCTTCTGTTCTTTCATGAACTTCATCAATAATAACATGTGTGAATCCTTGTAAACTCATATCCCCTTCCAACCTTCTCAGAAGCACTCCAGTTGTACAGTATAACAGCCGGGTAGCTGAAGACTTAAAATGAAAAGGACAACAAAATTGTGAACAAAATCAGTTTTTCTGTCCAAAGTTAACCTTAAAAGGCATCTTGTGTTATTCCAAGTCACAGTGACAGCCCAGATTTTGTCCATGTGTCCCATTCAAATTTCCAAGGGTAATCAGAGGGAGGTTTCTTATCCTGAAAAGCTCATCATACTTTCTCATGTCTAGCAAAAGCAGCAAAGACAGAAAACAAGCAAATCACACTGTGCATTAAGTGCTGCCGTTTAGTCATTGACTGGCAAAGCACATCCAAAGACCAAGGGCCAGTGCAAGTGTAATGTCAGCTCAGGTGTCGGGGGTGGGCAGTGAGATCAACATCTCCCACCTCCTCCTCTCTTCAGTGCAAAGACAGCTCACAGCAAACAATAAAACAACTTCCTTACAATAAAACATAAAAACAGCAAGCTGAGAAGAACAAGAAACAAAACATCAAACAGTTGCTACTGAAATCTTGCCCAATCAGAAGAGCTTTTAACTGGTGCTGAAAGATCAAAAATGTTGGTGCGTGACAAATACAGCATGGGTACCATTCTAGAAAAGGTCATGTGTCTGGTAGCTTTCTATCTCACCTCTGAAAGGCACCAACAGAGCAAGGCCTCACCAGAAGACATGAGTATTCAGACAGCTGTCCATATACTGTAATTATTAAACTGCATTTATATCCCGCCTTGTTCCTCTTGTAAGGAACACTAGGTAGCTTACCTAGTTCCATTTTATCCTCACAACAATAACAACAACCCTGTTAGGTAGGTTAGGCTGAGAATGAGTGACTCGCTCAGTCACCCAGCATGCCTCATGGCTAAGTGGACAGTGGAACCCAGATCTCCAAGCCACCCCTTTGGTTGTGATATATATGCATAGGATTATGTGCTGAATAAACTAAACTAAATTCCAAACAGCAAAAGCTATATTCCCGGCATAGATAAAGAAGACTGCTTGAACCCTACTGAAAAATTTTCTCTTTTCATAGATGGGACACTGACTGCCTCTTTGGCTCCAGAATAGCTCAAACTGTTTCAAATGAGAGAATCAGATGCTGTTTCATGTCAATATAGATTACAGCTCATTTGAATTCCATTTTTGTGTTCATTCCATTTCTCAAAACTTTTATTTATTTATTGCTTTTGTATACCATTCACAGTGATCAAAGCCATCAGAATGGTTTACAACAAAATAAAACTTACAAATGTCTATTAAAACCAAATTAATCTGGTTTCAAGACACACACACACACACCTGTCATCTTTCTGCTTTAGACACATTTTTCAAAATTTTACTCAGTGTTAGTTTTCTTAGAATATGGAAACAATCCTCCCAGCCTTCCACTCTTCCTGCTTTCCTCTAGGTTCAGCTACCAGAAACAGAATAATTACTGCTAAGATTAATAAAAGATGCAGCTAGCTGTCATGATAGGGACCCAATTAATTGCTGCAATGTGACACAAATGAATAAATTAATATGAATTAAGACACTATTGGCAGCACTGGAATAAAAAGGATGAATGGGTGAACAAACCATTACACTTTCTAGACGAATTTGATATCCAACCATGATCCCAACTCTCTCAGTTCGTTCCTTGGCCACACGTTCAGCCACAGAAACAGCAGAAATCCTGCGAGGCTGGGTGCAGATAATGTTGGCTACCTTGCTGGGCGGACCTTCGAGTGAGGAATCCAAGATAAACTGAGGAATCTGTGTCGTCTTTCCACAACTGCATGAAGGGGAAGAATCAAATAAAAGCAAAATTCTTATCACCCTAAAGCAAAGCATTAAGGGGTTGAGCAGAAGTCAATTTGGATTTCTTATACAGTGGTATCTTGGCTCACGAACGCCTCAGTTAATGACCAAATTGGATCGTGAACAAAAATTTCATAAAAATTTTCCATAGACGGGCATGACTATGGTTGCGCTCAGGGTGGGGGGAGATGGCCACAATCATGCTGAGGGAGCGGGAAGATGGCCAAGATCGCACCCGTCTTTCCTGCACAAGCGCAATCTCGGCCATCTTCCCCCCCACCCGAGCATGCCCGCAATTGTGCCCGTCTCCGCCCCCCAGCGCACCAGCAATCGTGCTGGGGGTTGGTAGATGGCCACTATCTTTGTTGTTTGTCACTTTGCATCAAGTTTTTCTGATTTAAAAAAAATAGTTACAGAACAGATTAACTTTATTTATACTGAACCTCATGGGAAAATATGACTTGGCTCATGACCAAATTGGGTCACGACCAGAGTCCTGGAATGGATTAAGTTTGTGAGCCAAGGTACCACTGTATAATGAACAAGTACATTCCAAAACCATAAACTATAGGATAATAATTCCTCAACATTCTGTTGTAGATTCAGAATTGAACTATTTACTTCTTATGTCTCAGGGTAGCTTATAAATCAATGTAATATAATGGCAGTGCAATCCAAAGAACAACAGAGTTTTTACTTATTTGTAGTGCAAAAAACAGGAAAAACAATATAATATTTAAAATGAAGAACCATTTTAACAAACATAAACTTATTAGTATATCAATGGGAAGTATGGGCCCACCTTTGGCTAATGAGATGGTGACACCCAGAAACGTGTCCACAGCAAGCATAAAACTGATACAATTAGGACTATTCTGCAGAGAACAATCATAAGCTCATCATGAGCACAGAGCTCATTTACATATGTGGTAGTGTGATCCACAGGGGATCACTTTTTGGAAAGCAATGCACAGGTGGTGATGAAGTTATCTGTCGCCTCCACACCACCTGTTTTAACTGCTATCTCCAATAGCAACAAAATGACACTAATAAATCTTGCGCTCACATCAGTGCACACCCACAGAAATACATGCTGTGTTGCATCCTACATCAAAATCTGCATTACAATTTATTTTTCATGAGCAAAAATGAGGAGAGATGGAGAGGAGCAACTTCTGAGTCTGCTAAAAATTATGATGTTTTTATTTATATATATATATATATATATATATATATATATATATATATAGTTTTAAAAATAGAGAAACTCACTGAATATCCACTGGGTCCTGCAACCCAAGTCCATCTCTACAAATTATGTCTCTGCATTGAGTTTGTAAAGATGGATTCGGGTTGCAGGACTTAGTGAATATTCAGTGAGTTTCTCTCTCTTTTTTAAACCTGTGTTTTTTTCTTTTAATTAAAAATGGTTTACTCTGCAGCAGAAGCCAAAATGACACTGTGCCGCCCGCCGAAAGGAAGAGCACACCACGAGGGGAAGGCATGAGGTTGTTCTCACCTTGCTCGAGGCCTTCCTGGCTCCTCACCACCACCCAGCTTCCGAGCTGGAGGAAGGTCTTCTCACAGGCACTCGCTCAGCTCCGGGAGCGGGAGCCTGGAGAGGTGAGTGCAGGGCAGCTCCCCCGGCCGGGAGAGGGCCGTGAGGAGGGAGGTAACGGCTGCTTTCTCCCGGGCTCGGAGAGGCGGCCACAGCTTGGCCCGCAGCCCAGGGACGTGGCTCATATTTTAGTCGTAAAAAAACCTGGATTAACCTTATTACATTGAACATTACGGGGAAATTTGATTATATTTTTCTTACCTTCTATCTTTTTTTAGTGTCTTTGTCCCCCTCTCTTCCCACCGCCCTCCTCTCTTCTATATTCCCACTCCGTATTCCTGCTCTGTATTCAGAGTCATCACATGCATGCAATAGGGGGAAGAGCCAGTGCATGCACAATTCACACCAGCAAGACCAGCACAGCAGCAGCTAGCCAGAGCTAGCAGAGAGAGCCGATGCATGTGCAGTTGAAGGGAGCTGTTACAATTTGGCATGTGCGCCGGCTCTCTCCTAGTCTCTGAAACTCAGAGTACACCTGAACCGGTTCAGAGCTTTCGGACTCATTCGGAGATTGTTTTCTCTGAACGAGTCCAAAAGCTCTGAGGCGGGCTGGGTAAACGACCTTGGCAGGCTGTATCTGGCCTGTGGGCCATAGTTTGAGGACCCCTGATCTAGAGGGTCTCCTTTTCGTCAACCCTGATTAACAAGTGAAGGAGGAACTGGCCAGGCCTTTTCATCCTCTCATTGATCTTTGTTATAGGCTAACTGTGCTAGGTACCCCATCCTTTGGTGAAAGGTAAGAAAGTCCAAATAAGAGCAGATAATCTGAAATATCTGAAGGTTGCTTTTAAGGGCATAAACCAAGGTGATTTACATGATGAAATCCTGTTCAATGCAATAATTAAGAAAATCAACAAACACCAGCAATAAACATCTAGCTGAGACAATACAAAAAGCTAAAACACAAGGAAAGTCCAATAAAACACAGGGAAAGGCCAAAGAAATTAGGGGAAAGACTTCCTGAAAGTTTGCAGATTTGAAATCTGATGGAGCCAGAAAAATAATAGGAAGGAAAGAACCTAGCCAATGTTCCTCCTTTCTGGAAGTCCTCTTTATTTTCTTGCCTGTAAGGTGGGACTCTTTAGAGTTCTCGATAGTAACAGATGAGTTGCTAGTCTCATTGGTAGGTGTACACAAGTCTTTTTGCACAGGTCATACCCTTACCCAGTCATACCACTCACAACCAGGACCTGAGATCTGTCCAGTAAGCCAAGAATGGTTTCTCTCATCTCCCATGCAGGAAGCTTCTGTCGTTCCTGCAACATGGCCTGGTAATGCCTGGAGGACTGACAAACAGATGCACAGAGTCAACAGCAGCCATAATTGATCTTCAGTGTAGGATCAACAATTATCTATTCTCCCCAATACACTTACATCATATGCAACCTGCCCACCCTGAGGCATATAGGACCCATAAGGCACTCTGTTAATGTACAGCTTCAATATGCTCAGATAGGCAGAACTAATTCTGACAATGATCCAGATGTTGAATACCACAAGTCAGGCTTCAACATTTATTGTTTACAAAATTTAGAAGGTAAAAGGGTGCTCCCAATTTAAGAAATACATTAAACATACAATTCTGTGTACATCTACACAGAAATAAATCCTAGAATTCACAGCATCCCTTGGGCAACCAAATGCAAATGGCAAGCACCATTATTGCTGTTGTTGATGCTATTATTATTATTTCAGTTCTATACCACCCCATAGCTGAAGCCCTCTGGATGATTTACAATATATCAAAAATAAGACAATAACTTATTATTACTATTTCATTTCTATACTGCCCCATAGCCAAAGTTCTCTGGGTAGCTTAAAACAAGATATTAAAAAGACAATAAAATATAGTAAAAATGCCATAAAATCTTATCAAAGAAACATTTAAAACATACAGGAAAGATGACCCTTTAAAACCCCTGAGATGGGTGATCCCCTCAAGCCCCTGGATAACTAAGTGTATCTTTAAAAGCCTTTGCCTAAAGGGCTGTCTTAACCTGGCACCAAGAAGACAACAAGGTTGGCATCACCAGATGGGTTGCAGTGATAAAGTCATTCCATAGATGGGATCTATGAGATCTATGGGATCTTTCTCTTACCCTGGAGAGAGGACTTAAACATGCTTGCTGCCTAACTAAACACAAAATATGCTTCTTCCTCCCCACCCCCAATTTTATTATTTTCTCACAAAATACGTTTCTTGATTATTCCGTCCAATTGTTTATGTTTTTGCTGTTGCTAGTCACGAAGTCATGTCCGACCTATCGCAACCCACAAGTTGCTGCTGACTTATGGGGACCCCATGAAAAAATGCCCTCCACAATGCCCTGTCCATGCCATCCCTGCTTAGCTGTCCTAGATTACTTATACACATATGCAAATTCTAATCAAAAGAGCAACTAACTAATACTCATCATCACCATTACTTTTATGGGGCTGCAGCCCTATCACAAGTGCTTCCCCAGACTGCAAACTGACTTTTTAAGATTTACATAAACACCCTCAGCATTTGAGTGACCAAGAGTATACCAAAAGATATGGTGTTGACAATAATTAAACCCTAATTAAAAACTCAGGATATTTATGAAAATTATTTTCAGGGGTGATGTTATATGAATCTTCTCATTTGTATATCATACATCAGCATCATCATTGCATAGATTACAAAAATGTATAGGTTTTTGCCTTATGATACTTAAAACTATAATATTCTTAAAACTCCTAATTTGGGAATTCATAAAACAGAATGTTGCTACTAGGTGTTCTGTGGCATTATCAGAATCTCAATGTTCTCTCCTATTTCATGGTATCAGAATTTTCTTCGAGCTGTTATTCAGATATGTAGCTAAACTTAAAACAAAAACAAGTTACTGAAAGTATATAGAACATCATATGCAACCTGATGCAGGTTTACAGTTTAAAACTCAATCATACCTTCTTTATGCTGAACTGTTTGCAAATTCTTAAATTTTCCTTGCAAATGGGCTTCGCTGGGGTACTATACTTCTTTAAAAGCTTCTTTTTGAGGTTTACATAACTTTCCATCTCTACATGAACTGCCTGTAGTTCCTCATCATCATCATCATCATCCTCTTCAATCACCAAGTCTTTCATTGCTTAAAACAGAGAACATCTTAACATACATTCTTCTAAAATGTTAGACTTCAGAGGAAAGGCTGTATAACAGAAGACCCCACAAGATGCAATTCTCTCCAGACATCCTTGTATTGTTCCTTTAAGTTCCTACAGGTCAGAACAAGGTTTTTGCTTTCATTCTGTGTAGCACAACTTTAGAATCTGTTTACTTGCACACAGCATTGAGAGTTAATCTAGTACTGCAGATATCTGCTGGAGATGGATCTAGTCCAGAAAAAGTGAAGGAAGCACTATATACACAAATATCTTCTAGATGTCTGTTCTCATGGACCTTTGGTGGCATGCAACGTCATACTGGTTTTAGTTGCTTTTTCTTTGATCTTGGTACCTGCTTATTGCTTTTTTGTAGCTTTTACTGGCTTTTTAACATAGTGCTCATTATGTTTTTAGGGATTTGTTTTGTAAGCTGCATTAAGGGTATGCATTGAAAGGTGCAGTATTATGTCACATAAATAAATATATAACCTCTGTTAGCATTCTCCATTACACTTTTAAATGTTATGTTAGAGGAATTCTCTGCATATAAGAAAGCTAGTCCTAACATTCTTGCATTGCAATTATTATAGCTAGGGTGCCATCTTGTGCATAAAAAGGCCTATGATTCCCAGCATTTTGCTGCCTGGGGAATGCTGGAAGTTGTAGGCCTTTTTCCTATCTGATTAGGCATAGGAATGGACCCTTAGTCCTCCTTTGCATTACTAACAAGCTTTGACTCAAAAAAGAAAAAAAAAAAAAACAACGAATTCCAGAAGTCAACTGTACTAGTCTGAGATGTCATAATACAAAAATGGTTTCATCTTCTCTATAGTGGGGATGGATTTGATGACTTTAATCTCTTCAGATTCTATGACTCGCTAGCAAAACAGGATCCTTGGTAGCAAGCATAAACCATGACAATTCTAGTAATCCCCCCCACTATATACTGTCACATTTCAGTACTCATGTACCTTTGTTTATTCCTCATCATTTTATATACTCTCCTCTTAAGGAAGAAACAACTAGTTCCAGTTATCAATAACCAAAATCAGTACTGAAAATACAAACAAAATCCTACAGGCTTCCCTATACTTGTGATCCTTCATTCATAGAAGCTGATACTTCCTTGATATGACAGTGTCAGCCTCTAGGGCATCTCCTGCATTTTGTAGTCATTTAATGGCTTTTTTTAAGAGCAAGGATAATGAGATAATACATTTTAAAGGGACAGCAAGCTGGAATAAAGGCTCATGTAACTCGGTAATTGTGCTATACTGCAACACTACCCTTGTGGTTGTATAACACAACATATAACACAGGTTTCTGTTTGTGCAACTACTGTTCCCTCAAATAGATTTTAGTCAGGTGTTGTATTTCAAATGACTTAACAATATGCCAAGAAATTGGTATTAGAATTGCTGCTAATATTTGTTTTTAATATATTAGGACCTATATCGTAGTCATTCACTAATACAGATTTTTTTTAAAAAGTTGCTTTTTAAAGGGATTCAAACAGCCACATTCTCCCTTGCACCATGAGTGGACCTCCATCAGTGATTTTTCTACCCCAGGAGAAAACAATGGGAAATCCACTACTGAAGTATAAATTCCTTGAAAACTACAGTAAATCCATCAACCATACCATACATCCTGACAGTAACTTCCATATATTCAGCAAATAACCAGTAGGGTGTAGGGGGGTGTGCATGCATAAAATTATAGTCACAACTTCATAAAATAATTCCAGCATTCTCCGTTTTTCCTAAATCACCATCTAATATAACAGTCCTAAACTGACCTGTAACAAGAGCACTGATTTGTGGAAGAACTCCATGAGTGTACTGGAGAACACATGGGCCTCTGAATGGGAGACCAAATATATCAGTTGAGAGGAGAATTTGGGCTCTCAGTTCTATCTACAGTCTCCTCTTTTAACACCTAAACTGTACAGTTCAACAAAATTTATGAAACCATATGTACCTTCTGAAATCTGATATGGAACATCTGAACTATTAGGGAGCATATGCTCATTGACATCAGCTGGTGTTCTTGCCAAGGGTTTCACCAGAGGTAATGGAGGACTGCTGTATTTATGGAAAGTCTTACTAAGCAGTTTTGTTACTTCAACTTCATCCTCTAAGCACGTTATAAAAGCATAAATAACAGGTTCATTAGATTCGGATGATATTAAGGCCTTTTCATAAAGGAATTCAGCAATGTGCAATCGACAAGACAAGGGCAGATTCTCATTGGTAGAATAGAATGCCACAAGGGGTGGCTGATAGGGGTATTTGTTGCCCTCAGGAAATCTTACTTCCAGTTCATACACAGGAGAGTTATCACTGTTAAGTTTGAGATGAGCATCTTCCCTAATACAGGGAAGTGTTTTCTGCTTGTGAGGAGATTCATGCTTGAATTTGCATCTTGAGCCAAACCTGCAGTGTCCTTGGAGGTAATGTCTGCAGATTTCCAGGGAAGCTGACTTCAGCTCATTACTGGGGTTGTTGTTCCCTCGTTTTGGCTTGCTGAGCATCTGTGTTAGGTACGCCAAGTCTAACGTAATAGTCCAAACCCGGTTTTTAATTCTTTCCACAAATTTGTCTCCACAGATGGAATGGAGGGCAAAAGCCTCTTCCTGCCTTTGCTCCAGACAGTCTTCAGTACTGGCCTGAGCAGCAGTTTCTGAGATCTTCTCTCCAAATTTTTCAGAGAAGCACTGTAACAGCAAGTGCTCCAGGGATGCTCCAATATTACCATTACAGGATTGCAGGACGGCTCGGCAACGCTCACTATCAAAACCATATCTAGAAAAAGGAGGTTGGAATTCATTGTGAAAGGTTGACATTCCTCTCCTACTGTTTAGATACAGGCAGTAAACAAGCTAGTTACAAGCTAACTTATTTTAGCTTTAAGTTAAAATAAACTAAAGGGCATTTACCTCTTTTGCTTTCAGTCCCACCCACCACTGGAATGCAGCCCCAAAGTGCTTCTCTGAAAATGAGCTGAGCTCTTGGACTGAAAGAGGTTCTGCATTCCTGAGGTTTAGAGTGTGGCTTTTGCATGAGGAATAAAATATAAAACTTGGGCATATTTGTCTAAGTTTGCTTTCCTTGTATGCCTTACATAGTGTGCATTACTCATCAATTTGGGTATGTTAGAGCTTTTTCCAGAACATGAAATTTTGTTTTCAGTGAGTGTGTGTGGAAAGATGGAATTAGGAAAATAGCTTTTACTTGGAAGGTTTCCTAGGAAAGTTATTAGGAGTAATAACTAGGTACAGGTGTAAAAACAGGGAAAGATAGGCTATGAAATGTCTTAGCTGAGTTCAACGAGGAATACTTTTGTTCTCTTCCCCATTCGTAACACACACAAACATCATTTGGAATTTTCAGTCAGAATTTGTCTTTTTGGCAATTTCATTGCAGCTTGAAGTAGATGAAATGCAAGACTCTCTAGACTGTGCTTGGGCCAGGGATTCCAAATGAAAGGCACATTTTGAATTCTTTCATACAGCTGTACCTAAACAGGACTCCTGTCCTACTAATCCTGATTCCTACTTCCTTGTTAATATTTTCTATTTTATTTATGCAGAAATAAATCACCTGGAAAGTTTATGCACAGCAAACGAAGATACTTCAACCTCAGGAACATGGGTGATAGGTGCTTGAAAAGAAGCAGATGTACTAGTTTTAGAAATTGCCTGATCATCTGACCAGCACTGCTCATCATCCAAGAAATCTGGTTTGTCAAAATCATCTTCACCCAATACAAGTGTCCTAGAAAAAACAGCAAAGGATTTCAGGCTCAGAGCTCTAGGATTTGAGGAATGTATTTTACTCTTTGCTCTGCACCGCTGCACTGTTACTCTTAAAAAAGAAACAAAAGCAAAGGAAGCTGCACCCTTCCCCTCTCACAAACACTCTTCCTCTGGCACAGTTCACCTTAGCATTGGAGACAAAGAGAGGAGAAAAAGAGTCTGAAAAGTCATAGAGGAAGAGTGTTTTTCTCACCTATATGCTCCTTTTGAGGTTTATTTTATCAATTTGTATCCTACCCCTTAATGTAAAAGCCATTCCAAGCATAGCTCACAAAATCTAGGGCAATAGCCAAACAAAACGGTACCAATAAATAAAGTACAGATTAAAAAATAAGGAAGCTAAACAGTTGCATTATGTATCAAAGGGCTGGAAAAATATTAAGGTCTTTACTTGACATTGAAAGGTTAACAGGGTAAGCACCAGGTGAATCTACCCGGAGAGAACATCCCACAAGCAGGCCTCCATAACTGTGAAGACCCTCTTCCCAGTTAAAATATGCTGGAAACATTGGAGAACTGAAAAGGGAGGATACAAGGGAGGATCAGAAATCAATTCCAAAAGCACTCCAGGATGTTTCAGGTAACACAAACGGCATTCTAGTTTTTAAAATTCCCATGTGCATGAGCTGAGAACCCTGACAGGGTCAGGAAGTTTGGGTTGTTCAAAATAAAACATGTTATTTACTGTTATTTATTTGGAAGCTAGTTATAATCCAGCTTCCAAAAAATTCACAAGGCGGGTTCCAAAGATTAGCACACAAAATAAATACTAAAAACATAATTAAGTTGAAACAACAGTAAACCAACAGAAGCAGAAACACCAGGTGGTTAACTATAAACCCTATTTTTGCTGCTATGTGCTGTCAAGTCCAGTATTCTTCTGACATAGTTGCCAACCAGCTGCTAGGGGAAGCCCACAAGTAGGTAATGAGTCAACAGAATCCTCCTACTCCTGTTCCCTAGCAAGTGGTGAACAGAAGCAGAGTTAACCATCTGTTCTTGTTACATGGCATCAAATTATCTTTAACTTATGGCAACCCTGAGAATGAATGCCCTCCAAAATGGTCTGTCCTTGACAGCCCTGCTCAGCTTTTGTAAACTCAAGGCCGTGCCTTTCTTTATAGAATTGATCCATCCTGCATTTGGTCTTTCTCTTCTTCTACCTTCAACTTTCCCTAGCATCATTGTCTTCTCAATACACAATAATAAACTCAAACAAGCAACATAAAAAACCTTCCCGTGTCTATTAAAAATAGGTGAAAATAAATGTTTTAACCTGATGCCTAGTAGGTGTTCCATTAACAAAGTGTCACCACAGAGACGCCCTTATCCTCTGGTACATCACCTCAGACAAGAGGGGAACCCAAATAAGGTCTCCATAGGTTCAAATAGAGCAGGCAGTTCCTCTGATATCTATGCCCCATACACCTGATATGTTCACTACAGAAAACTCCAGTTTACATACTGTAATTGTACTTGACATATAAAGAATGGAGCCACCCCTGAGATAAGCAGATGCCTTGTTTCTTATGCCAGAAAAGCGACAAAATTATACAACTGCTATTTGCATAAGATATGATGTCACTGTGCGTTCTAAAGTAAATAAAAGGTGTACATGTTCAGCTCTGTACTATGGAATCATAATTCCTTAATAGTGAAATTAATATTTAGAAAACTCACTCTGCACCAGCAATCAGATCTTGCCCTTGGAGCTCACGGAGAAGTTCTTTCACGCTCTTCTGATTCTCTGAAGTCATGTACAGTGTCTGCAGTGGCATCTTACTCTTAGAATCATGTTTGGCCTGTCCATATCCTCTACTAACAGGACTTGACGTTAAAAGAAGAATGTATTCATGTAATAGAAAATACATACATGCATAAACATTAACTAAAAACACTTCACAAAAAAACCAGTAATGTTGGGTCTGGCCAATATCCAGCTTCTTCTATTCCTAGGGATTCTCAGGCAGGCACGCCAAATAATTAGGAGATGGTATGCTTCACATCTGTAGTACATACTGAAGCTGTGAGAAGATTCATACCATTTATTGATTGCTTTGTTGTTGTTGTTAGTCGCGAAGTCGTGTCCGACCCATCGCAACCCCATGGACAACACTCCTCCAGGCCTTCCTGTCCTCCACCTTCCCCTGGAGTCCACCTAAGCTCACACCAACTGCTTCAGTGACTCCATCTAGCCACCTCATCCTCTGCCGTCCCCTTCTTCTTTTGCCATCTATTGTTCCCAGCATTAGGTTCTTCTCCAGGGGGTCCTTCCTTCTCATTAGGTGGCCAAAGTATTTGAGTCTTATCTTCAGTATCTGGCCTTCTAAGGAGTAGTCAGGGTTAATCTCCTCTAGGACTGACTGGTTTGATCACCTTGCGGGTCCAGGGGACTCTCAGGAGTCTCCTCCAGCACCACAATTCAAAGGCCTCAATCCTTCGGCGCTCAGCCTTCCTTATGGTCCAGCTTTCACAGCCATACATTGCAACTGGGAAAACCATAGCCTTGACTATACGCACTTTTGTTATTTATTGCTTTTACATCCCACCCTTCACTGTGTCTCAGGGCAGCAATACAGTAAAATACAGCATCAAAGTATACAGTAAATAAAACCCGATCTTAAAACAGTATTAACATTTAAAATAATGGGAAAATAAAAAGGTTTTGGCCTGTCACAGAAAAGAAAAAAGTGTTGGTACCAGGTGCACCTCTCTGGGGAGCATGTTCCATAGCTGGGGCACCACCAAAAATAGGGTTCTTCTTCAGGTAGCCACTCTTCTGATCTTCAAACACAACGGATTCCCTCTCAGTTCAATACATTCAATTTGTACTAATCAACTGACTATTTGAATCCACTGAGCCAACTGGGTACCAGCATCTTGTTGTGTCACACAAAACAAGCACCTACAGCATCAACACCACATCCCTTTCCACCTATGTTAAAAAGAACCTCTTTCTTACTGCAGTTATATAGGGAAGCGGTTTCTGATATACTTTCTCAAAAAACAGAGTAGCATTTTAAGCTATTCTGTCTAGTAGTCACTGTCAACCTCTCCCTCAACAGATGGTGGCACTCAGGATAGACACCATAAATGAAAATCAGCTGCATTAAACTTGCTGTTAAACAAGCCTCACAAGACATGTCTCTGTGATAATCTCTAATAAACACTCAACCATGTTGTGAATGGGAACTTAAGTCATGGCATTTCGCTTTTATTACTGGATCATAGGAGGCTGCCTTATACCACATGAGGCAATTTGTTCATTTGCCCCAGTGTTACCTACTTTGACTAGTAATAGCCCTACAGGACCTCAGGCAAAGAGAAAGAGAGGTTTGTCCATTATCATCTACCAGGTCCATTAAAGCAGGAGATACAAAATATGAAACTGGGACCTTCCATTTGCAAAACATATGTGTTGGCACTAAGCTACAGAACCTCCAAATCTTTCTTTTAAAAAAGTCAATCTTCTATGGACTTCCAAAAGATTTTTTAAGATGACATAAATCCCAACATTTAATTTTCTAGTATTTTCATTGTGCTAACCTGGTTATATGCTTTGCACCACCAAAAACACAGAAATCATCATCATCATCATCTTCATCCCAATGCTTGTTTAAGCCTTTTTTGCTGCCACTGGCTTGATGCTTGTTGGGTTTACCACAACCTCCTCCTCTTCCTCCCCCTCTGTTTGGTCTTCCCCTTCTCTTCCCTGATGAACTCATTTTCTCTCTTTAAAGGAAAAGAAAGTGTAAGCAAACAAAACAGCAAAAACATAGAAGTATGACACTAGAATTACCATGTAGGCAGGCAGCCAAGATAGCAGTGATTCTTACTAATTCCTTAGAATGGCTAGGATTGATGCGAATTGGAGCCTCGAGGGCACTCGGCTGAAGGAATTATAGAAACTGCTACCCAACACACCTGGAATGCCTCCAGGTTGAGTAAGGCTGTTCTATATGCAAAGCAAGGACTCTACCAGTCAGCTGTGGGTCCTACCACGACCCCACAGCCCCCCTCTATGCCCTGTCATATTACACACGCATCTCTCTCAAACGAGCTTCCTTCCCACGGCCCCTCTCATGCTCTGTGGCTCCTGAGGGTTGCTTCCATGCAATCAAGAACACAACAATTAAGCCTCAAAGAGCCCACAATTGCACTGCACCCCCGCCGTGCAACAATAATAAACACAATCCCCTCCCATCCCGCCTTTCACACACGCCACCCCCAACCAACTCCTTCGGTTTCGCTCACCTGTTAGAACCGGCTTCCAACACACCGCCCAGGAACGCACCAGTCACCCGGAAGTGAATGGCGCATCCCTTTCGCCTTCCGGGTGCCGGGAGAGTCCGGTCTCCATAGCAACCGCGCGCGGCACTCCTTCAAAGACATGACTGGTAAGTGGCGGCTCCTGCCTGGGCGGCTCTGTGTCGTGTCTGTAGATGTTTGCCTCGAAAATCAAGGAGCTGCTCAGGCAGCGGCCGAAGGTGCGGCGGCGCTCGGCGCGGTGGATTTCCCCGCTCCTCCGCACGCTCGAGCGGCTGCTTCAGGCGCCAGTTCGGCTCGCCCGTCCCCGGGCTCAGCCTGGAGAGGCATTTCTGCTGCCCGAGAGAGATGCGCGCAGCATCCTTGGCTGTGGGCCGGTCTTGCGTGCGTCCCCCTTTCCTAGATTTGATGCAAACCAACAACCTTAATGCAAGCATGGCTGGAGAGGAATGGCGTTCCAGAAAGGGCAGTTCTTCCAGGTATAAAGTAAGGATTGCCATCGCACCAGCTGCTTTGGATTACAGCTTCCATCAGCCCCAGCCAGCATGGCCAGTGATCAGGGACGATGGGCGTTCTCGTCCAAAACATCGGGAGAGCATCGGGTTGCTCAGTCCTGGTGTAGAGGAACATTTTTAAAAAGTCTGTGAACTCCCATCCAAGTAGTTGAGAATCTTTCCAACTTTTCTAGTCTCAGGAGTGTGGATGGTAAGAACGGACTCAGCTTTTAAAACATTCCCGTATGCTAAAGATTTATTATAGTTATAATTGGTGCTATGCATTATTTGCCATTGTTTCACAATATCTATTCATTTGTTTTAGAAAACACGTATATTGCTTCCCATATTAAAAATCCTAAAGCAGTTCACAACATATTACAAAACAATACATTATTGCAAGCATAACAGTATTTAGATTTGTTAATGACTGTGAAAAGCCAGGGCAAATAAGTAAGTTTTAAATATAGGTTAATACTTAGATTGTTAAAATGATCTGTGTTTCTTTTAAAGATAGGTGAAATTAATTCTCTCTTTCTGAATAGGTGCTGAAGTGTATAAAATATCCTTCATATTTCCAAACCTAGATAAGTATGGTAAAATATCTTTTTTTTATACAGGTTAATGTATGTAACTTTGTATTTGGGGGGTGGGTAACCTTATGTGATGATTCGAAATGAAAACTAGTAATGGAAAAAGAAGGAGTAAAGAGTGCAAATTGTTGATCCTCTCCCACATGTTAACATAGTATTATGGGAAAACCTGTGATTCCTTTCTAGAAATTGCTGTTGGGTCAGAGGAAAACTAACAAAACTTAGAGAAAAGTAGAATGCTCTGAAAGGGGGAAAATTGAATGTAGGCAAGCCATTTGTGAAATGATAATATGCTATGCTGCCACATTTTGAAGAATTGCAGTGAAGGATTAAATATTAAAGTAGCATACTTAATGTAACTTTTTTCAAAAGGTTTCCCCACCAGATTATTCTTTTGCTTCATCAGACGGAGATTGTACAAGAACAGCTGATGGAGTCCTTGAGAGGAATGGATATGGAATTCATACCACTCCAGATGGGATTATTTACCAAGGAACTTGGAAGAATGATAAGGTATATTCCTATTTGCAAATACCTAAAAACAAAGTAACTAAACTTGCATATGCTTGCACCTTTGCCTAGTGAAACTCAAGCCATATTAGTTATTCAAATATTGCACTGTTTGTGTTCGGACTGTATTCCTCAATATATTTAAAGACAAACTATATTGTCTGTGTAAATTAAGGGTATGCTTAGATTTAATGCCCCCAATTTGCGTATGAAAATATTTTCAAATAAGGCAAAGCCACTATCCAATACCACCTCCTATATTCAGTACTGCATATATTGACCATTGAAGTAAGCTGTGTTTTGGAATAGTAGTGACAGGCAAAATCCTGGAAAGAGCTTTCCATTATTATAAATTGCAAAGAAATTATATAAAGCTTTGCCATACAATGCATTTTGAATAACATGATGCCCTTAGGGAGGTTATATGATATTACCTCCAATCTCTGCTTGATATGTTTCATTATTGCCAAAACATTTGATTGACCTTTCTGCCTTTGAGTCAATCAAGAGTAAAGGAGGGACTTTATAACATGCCAATTTTCTGGTCTTAGAACCAATGCTCCACTGAGGAGGCAAAGATCCACAAGAAGTAGGCTTGCCACTCTTCCCCATTTTACCAACAAAAATATTTTCATTTAAGTGTGCATAGGACTGCTCCTTAAATGTATTAAATGTTGGGAAATGATAAGCCAGAGTCAGTATTTTATGAATGGAAATTAATCTGCTTCTACTGATCTGTTTCTACTCCTTTTTAAATCAGATGAATGGATTAGGAAGGCTGCAACATCCTTCAGGTGCAGTTTATGAAGGTGAATTCAAGAACAACATGTTGCATGGAATAGGAACCTACATATTTCCCAATGGAGCCAAGTACACTGGACAATTCAATGAAAACAAGTACGCTGAAAGGAAAATAACTTAATGTTTGTTTCCTTGAAAGCAGGGGTAGGCTTCCTGATTTATCTCTGGAAGGGATCAGATTGCCAACCCCTGGCAGGAAGTAGATCTCCAGCTGATTGGAACTTCAGCATTCAAATCCCCCTGCCAGTGGTCAGGAATGCCAGAAGTTGAAGTCAAAAACATCTGGAGATCTATCTGTCTACATCTATATAGATAGTATGTATACTTAACTAGTATGTTAGCTTTGCATTAGAAATATAGCCTGCTCTACATAGCCTTGTAGGCTAATTTGCTCTCTCCTGCTAGGGTGGTTTCTTACCTTGTCATATGCTCAGGATCATCATGCTTTTGAAGGTGACAGATACCTTTGCCAAATACCTGTAAACTAGGTGTCAACTGATCACCATACATAACAATACACATTCATTGGCAGGAATAGAATGATGGGAAAGTTTCTATTATACAAAACAAAACTGCTAAACTTCCATTAGGAATCTTTTTTATGAAGTTCCTTATGTTTGGCAGCCTAATGGCCATCACTGGGAGGTTGATATTGTGAAGTGCCATTAGAATATAAATAAGTATAGTAGAATGACTACTTCCTTCATTTTAACAATCTTTTTTTAAAAATTCTGCTCTAGGCTGGAAGGAAAGGGAGAATTTACAGACACTCAGGGCCTGGAATGGGATGGCACATTTCATTACACAGCAGCACCAGGGCTGAAGCTGAAGCTGGAAATGTAGGGTATTTTTTAATAGAAGAAAGGCACTAAACATGTATCTTATAAAACTTTGAACCACGACCCAATAATTTCTTACTGTACTGAAGAAAAGTTATTATTGCTTTAAAATAAAGTCTAACCAAATAAAGCACTGGACTTAATGTTTTTCTTGGGTTTATATAGCTTGATCACCCCATTGCCCAATTGTAGTTCTAAAGTAAATTAGTAGTAAGTAATTTTTCTTTCAGTCATCCTCTCTTTAAGCATCTGATGAAGTAGGAAATCCACAAATTGTACTTTCAAGGGGTATGTTACGGATTGCAAGAGAGGAGAAATGGATGACTAAAGCTTTGCACCAGTGCTGGGTAATTAGAAGTAAATCTTGCCATGCTTACTGCATGTCTGCATGGTGACTCTAGTGTTGCGCTTCCCTGTTGCTTGATGTTTTTGTTCATGCTTTGTTTTTCTTTAGAGAAAAAGAATGCATCCATCAGAGAACAGAAAATCAAACTGCAGGAGGAAAAGGAAGGGTAGAGCAAGGTGATGGTAGACCCTGCGGGGGTTAATTATGCTAGCTGGGGAGAGTGGGTAGTTGTAGGACTTTCTTTCTGTCTGAACTTGTGTACGATTGTGCCCCAATTGTCTACAGTGCAGCATATCCAGAAGGTGGCACTTCAAACTCCAGTCAATGTTTAGCTGGAGGGTTGTGTATATAGAATGAAATATTTTCCAGTTGACTTGTGGGAAGATTGGTTGGGAGCACCAAATCCTCTGTTACTTTTGATTAATAGGGAGGGCTTCTTGGCTTTTTGCCAAAGAGGGTTGCCTGGCTCTCCTATAAAGCAGGAGGAGACCTCTGTCTTGGTAAGTATGCTTCTCCATGCATTGATCCAGTGGGCTGCCTGCCATAACTAACCATGTTTCCAAGCTGCTGTGCCCACCACCTAGCTACCTGCCTCCCGTGCTTGTTGCATACTGGGCTCCTCAGAGACATTAGGTGCCTTGGTCCAGAAAAGAAGTGCAGAAATAGAATAATGGAGGAGATGGTTAATGTGATGTTACAGTGATAAATTCTGGACCCCTCCTGTATGATTTTGTGTGAAATTATAAATATGATCCCCTTCCCGCAGCATTTGGTGTGCATGTGCAGGAATTTAATCCAGTTTATTTGAGCTTGAAATTCTTCTGCCTGACCTCGCTATCTTTTGGAACCATCCCTGATTCTGACTAAAGAAAGAAGTTTGAAATGGGTTTGGGTTACATCTTTGTTCATCTGTATTAAGTAATGTTGCTGTGTGAGAGCAGCTTCCTGCAGCTGCCTCCTCCTCTCCTAATTTAAAAAAATGCCAAGAGCCTTGCTTCTTCATTCTACACTAAAGCTCACTGCCTTTCATGACTACTAAAAAGGAAAAGAAAACTGGTAGAGAGGGAAGAACCAAAATTTGCAGTTCCATAAACATCAACATTGTTTTAAGAGTTTGGCTTCATGTTAAATTTGCAACTGTGTTAACCAGGAGGGAGGGACACAAGGCTGTGACCTGAAGATTGCATAATTAGAAAGCTTTAAGTTTAGATATGCTTGGAATTGAAATTAATGATTAGCATGTGATAGACCTACTTCGGAAAATACCAGGCTTCTGCAGCTGTCTCCTCATCTTCTCTTTAGGCAGTCGAGAGATTGCACTGCTGGAGGTAAGCTTAAAAGGCATTGTACGTCTGCTTTATTCAATTATTTTTAATGTTAACATAAATTTGAGGAGTTTCAGCAATGAGTTAGTATTATAAGGAGTTCTCTTTTAATACTTTATGCTAAAATGTAGCACAAGCCTATACATGTCTACTCAGAAGTAAACCTCATTGAGTTAAGTAATACCTACTCTGGTGAATGTGTGCAGGATCCTACTGAACTCAGTGGAGCTTACCTCGGAGTGGAGGGTATTCTTTCAGATATTTTTGCAAGTTTGGTATGTTACAATTCTTGTAAGGTATAATACACTTAGGTGCTGGAGGAAAGAAATACTAAACAGTGGCAAAAATACCATAAAAATACTGTAATATTTGATGGTGGTTGTGCTGTATTTTGTATTTTTAACATCGTTATAGAGTCAGATTTAAGGGGTGCATTAACTGACTTCTCATTAAATCAAAAAGAAGCCTCTTAGAGGTTTCATAAGATCCTAAATTTGCTTCTTTGACACATTCTTATATAAAGTCTTATAGAAAGGCCTGAAGTGAATTTCTGTCTATACTATTTGAAAATATAGCAATGCATAGCTAAAATAATATATAATAATAAATGAATATTTAAGCTATAATCCTATCTTCACTTTATCTGAGGAAATGCTCCATTGAATTCAATGGACTTACTTCTGGGTAGACATGCATAGGATTGCTCTGTTAACATTTTTAAATAATAATCCCATTGGCAGCATGTTAAAAGTATAACTCAGCTTAAGTATGTTTTACATTTCTCTGATTTAAAGGTAAAAGAGTAAACATATGCTTAAAATTGCAGTTGAAACCAATGTAATCATAATACATATGTCTCTTCTGAGCACCTTTTACTGCTTACCCACATGTTCAGAGCAGTACATTCCTAATATGCAGTACCATACCCTGGTGATTTTTTTCTACCTCTGTATCATTTATAGCTTGTCCAAAACTTCCTTGAATGTTGATGCCCCAAATCAATGGCAATGATCCAAATGAGTAGTTCCAATATTACATTTTTATGGTTTGTTACATTTCAGATATGATGCTTCTGCTAACACAACCTAAAATAGCCTTGGTTTTTGGCTATAGTAAGCAAAAGCCGTATTGCGGTGGGGCATTCTAGGTTTAAGGCTGAACTTTAAAGGAGCTGCCCATGGTTCTGAGCCTATTTTAGGAAAGGATGGACTGGATACACGAGCACACTGGCACTGGAGCCACCAGCATCCTCTCCTACATCGTCAGCATTTGTTTGGTTATCTTTTTGAACAGGAACGCAAAAATTCAGGTGCTTAGTAGCTGCTGGCACCCAAACGTGTGCCTGGGAATCAGTCTCTGGTTTGCTGCAGAGGTGAAGCAGATTTCCCTGGCCTCTAGATGATGTTGCTGGCTCCTAAACTATGCACCAACCCCACCCGCCGCCCGCCCACAGCCCGCCCACTAAAAGCACGCCCTCCGTGTTTAATCCAAGCTATTCTCTTTGCAATGCTTGGTTCCACCATGGTCACCAGAGGTACAAGTGTGCACTGTGCCAGCTAGGATTCCAACAGTGACCTTATCTGGATGTGGCTAACTTGGCTTTAGTAGTCCGTACTCTTTCAGCCTCCTGTTCAGATTACTGCAATGTGTTGTATGTGGGGCTGTCTTTGAAGAAGGTCCAGAAACTTGAGTTGGTTTGGAAAGTTGAATGGATGCGGAACAGGAGGCAAGGGTTCAGAGATCAAGGATTCAGAGCAAATCTCACTGATTTTTTTTCAACATCGTAGTCCCTAATCAGTTTCTGGGTTCCATTTACATTGCTGGTTTTGACCTGAAAAGCCCTGTACAACTTTGAACCTTGGCATATCTAAAAGATTGCTTCTTCCCATATGTACTTACCTGAGGCCTTTAATCTTCAAGGGGAAAGTCCTTTTCCAGTGCTTCTCTCAAACTGAAATATGGAGGGTGGCAATTAGGGAGCGGTGCTTTTTGGTAATTACACTGGCAAATGTTATAGTGCTGTTAATGTTAGAAAAAAATTTGCTTACATTTAAAATACAGATATTCTCCCTCTAGTCTGTGTTTTTATAGTAGAAAGGATATGTTTTGCCTTATGACCAGCATTCCATTCCATTTAGAATAGAATTGTAGAGTTGGAAGGAGCCTCTAAGGCCATCAAGTCCAGCCCCTTCTCCACTTCCTCATGTGGTCACCTACCTGCTTGCAGGCACATGCCTTTCTAGCTTAGCAAAGGTGACTCAGTGTGCTAGCTTGATGTACAGCTTCTGCAGGCAGGCTGGTTTTATTGATCCTCACTTTATATATTTGATTTAGTTCTGGTTTTTAAATTAGAGTGTATGTCACCTAAATTAAGGGTGGGTAGAAGTAGATTGTTGTATTACTTGGTCCACAGCATTCCATGACTTTCATGCTATGAGCAGGACATGAGTGCAATGGCACCTCTGAGCTAGTGAACTGAGGTTATGAGACAGCTGAGAAATATCATAAGGCTTTTGCTTTGGTGTGGAAATTGACATGCTTAGAGTTTAAGAGAACATAAAAGGAGCACAGAAGTGCCTTGGCTTCTTAGTACAACCAGCTTCAATGAGGGCAGAAATTCTTCAGCTTTCTCTACTGCCCTTGCTTAGGCCAACCCTTTCCTCTAGTTAAACATCACGGCAAATTGGCTTTCTTCCCCTGGCTCAGGAAATTTATTTTTGTAGACGCTTTCCTAAAATAGACAGCCTTCCCCAGCCTGGTTCCTTTCTGACGTTTTGAACTATGGCTCCCAGCACTCCTGACGATTCATTGTACATACTGTCTGAGACTGATTGGAATTCAGGTCTAAAACATCTGGGAAGTACCAGGTTGAAGATGACTGGAGTAGTACAACAGTTCTATAGAAGTATAGCCAAATGTATTTCATGAAGTGCAAGTTACTAAACTCATTTTGATTTTTCCAAGTTGTGGCACTACTGGCAAAAAATGAATCAATAATAATTCAATTTTATTTTTTTCCACCAGTGAAAATAGGAGTTATCTGATTAATCACTGAGCTCATGTGTTAAAGTCTTTAAAACAACAAGATAGGCTGATTCTTTTCTTTTTTGTTTGTTTTTGTTGTTTGTGGAATAATAAAAGCTCTTTGAAAAGGGGAGAGATGTTTTGACTGGACTTGAAAAAATACCAAACGTATTTAAGAAGCATGGATTCAAACAGAAAAGAAGGTAAATATGTTTTTCCACAGAGATTAAAATAATGGCACAATGTTCTCTCGACTGCATGAAAAAAAAATGGAATGAAAAATAGATTTTAAAAATAGTACGGCTATATGTTTGGGAAGGAGGGAAAAGTGGTACCAGAACACACAATCCTGGTAAAAGGTGGACACCCCATTTATAGGAGCACTACAGAGGCACTGCTGTATGTAAACCATGAAATTAGAAATATATGTGTGTT